TCCAGTACAATTTCTCCCGTTCTGTTGGGCCTATCCACTTTAAATTAAGAACAAGTAACATAAATGTCCATTAAATAAATACAAATAGGGAAGAACAGACAGGATAGGAAACCAAACAGAATAAGAAGTAGAAAGGAGAGATTGAGAGAAAAAGTGGGAAAGATATACATCCACAAAGAAAGGCAAGTTCAGAGAAGACACAAATGGATATATATAGAGAGATTTTCATAAATTTAGTGTTGGGATTGACAAACTTTTTCTTAAAGGCCCAGTAAATATTTTAGGCTTTGCGACCCATACAGTCTCTGTTGCAGCTACTCATCTCTGCTGTTGTAGCACAGAAGCAACCATAGGCAGTATGTAAACAGATGGGCATGGCTATATTCCAGTTAAACTTTATTTACTAAAACAGGCAGCTGGCCCTTGTCAGTAGTTTGCTGACTTTGAAGTCATATGTTTTGCCAGCATATACATAAATAACTACCATATACACATTTGAATAAACTCACATCAACACCTGAACTCATCAATAGATCAGACCAGTTCTCCATCCCTCACTTGAGTTAAAAAATTGAACAACTGTGATAATCAATGCTGCCTTTAAAGAAAGGTTTTATTTAGTTGAAGATTATTGTATCTAAAAGAAAAAGCTAATCTGGGACTTCTGAAAGAGTGTAGTCAAGTTCTTTTTTTCTTTTTGAGGAAGATTAGCCCTGAGCTAACATCTGCTGCCAATCCTCCTCTTTTTGCTAAGGAAGGCTGGCCCTGAGCTAACATCCGTGCCCGTCTTCCTCCACTTTATATGCAGAATGTCTACCACATCATGGCTTGCCAGGCAGTGCCATGTCCACACCCAGGATCCGAACTGGCAAACCCCAGGCCGCCGAAGCAAAAGGTGCGAACTTAACCACTGTGCCACCCAGCTGGCTCCTCTAGTCGAGTTCTTTATCACTACTGAGCAGGTTGAGGAACCTTAAGCCAGTGTGAGAGGTTATGTCGCTCTGATCACAAACTCTGTAACTCAAAACTTAATGCATGCCGGTGGGCTGCTGAGGTTCTCTCATTCAGAGTGGGTACCCCTGACATCTTAACAGTCCTCCAATTGCTTTTGATAAGGAAGAATTTTTAGGGCTCTTTTTTGCTTAAATCTATTCTCTGTGATCACCACAATAATCCATTTCAGTTACAAATCTGAACGTATAACTGCCTTTTCAAAACCCTTTGGTGGCTTCTCATCACTTAAGTTTCAGACTTCAAAGTGACACTTAGTTCCCTTAATGATCTGGTTCCTCCTTACCTCTCCATTCTCATCTATAAGTACCACCTCACATCTCATGTACCAACATAAGGTTACTTGTTACCTAATCTATAACATAGATTTAGTTCTTTGCAGTTCTTTTATACACCGTATAGTTTCGTACCTCTGTGCCTGGAACGCCTGACTTCCATACTCTGAAGACTGAATAGTTACCTCTTAATCATTATTTCTATACTTTATGCATACTTCTTCTGTTCTACTTATCACCTTGTATTTTATTTATTGGTTCACATGTCTGAATGTCTCCTCTACTATACAGTGAAGAGCTGCTAAAGGACAAGAAACCATACTATTTATCTTAGCATTTCCAGTTTCATGTATCCATCACCTTGCTTCACCAGTTATCAGCTCATGGCCAATCTTCCTTCATCTATATCTCCTGCCACCCCATTTAGATTATTTTGAAGCCAAACCCAGATAGTATGTCATTTCAATCTGTAAATATTTCAGAGTATATCTCTAAAAGATGGGTACTCTCTTCTTAAATCCATGTCATGCTAAAATAATAATTCCCTAATATTATCAAATAATCAGTTAGCATTCACATTTCCCCAGTTGTCTCATAATTATTTTAAAACTGTATTTGAGTTGGGTTTCAGTAGGGTCTATATAGTTCAGTTAATTGTTATGTCTCTTAAATTTCTTTTAAACTATAAATTTCCTCTCGTTTCTTTTTCTTATTATTGTTGAAGAAAATGGTCTTTTGTCCTAGAGAGTTGTTCACAGTGTGGCTTTTGTTCGTTGTATCCCCATGGTATCATTTAGTATGCTCATCTGTGCTCTATATTTCCTCTAGGTTACTAGTTAGATTTAGGCTTAATCGGAATCATTTGATTGGGAGGTGGGAGACAAGACTACTTTATAGCAGTGTTGTGTTCCACCAAGTGTTATGTAATGGTCTTCTGTCTCTTGTTTTGTGTGATGGTAGCCGTTGATGAACTTTACATAGATCTGTTAATTCTGTAGGAGTTACAAAATGCTCATATTTTAGTTCTGTCATTCCTTTCTCATTTATTTTAGCTGGACTACTTCTGTAAAGAGAAATTTCTTTTCTCAACTATATGATTATCTTGAGATATAATTCAAACATACTAAGACCTTTAGATATTATGGAACAAGGGAGTCAGTTTCACAAAAGATAGATAAGGCAAACTAATCAGTTTTGAGTGCCAAAGGGAGATAGTGAACTTTTAAAGTAAAAATGAACCTTTAAAGTAAATTTCTAAGACTTAGCAACTCCTTTACAAATGTTCAAAGCATTAAAATTGCATGGGAATATAAATCTTCAACTGAAAAAACTCTGACATTTAAAAATAAGAATTAGGAAAGCCATTCATTAGTACAAAAGAAACAATCCATCAAGCTAGTGTTCATTTCCAAAGTGTGTATTAGTTTTATAAACAAAACCCTTTTTAAAAAATAAAGCAGTAAAATGCACACCCCACGCTGAACCTAAATATCTTAAGTCTTGTCCTAATAAACTACTGAGCTCCCCCTTTGCTTCCATTACGGTGCCTCTCTCAGGATCTTTCAGTGGTTTCTCCATTGCTTTCTCCAGCCTCTTGCCGTTAACTAGACTAATTCAGAACTGGAGTTTTAAAATATTCTCTTCAGTAAATAAAATAAAAATTATGTTCCATGTTTCAATTCCAAAATGACTGAGAATCTAGAGCATGAAGATCATAATACCTTTACCTGGTCCTAGTATAGGAAAGGAATGTAGGAAAGGAATCTAGGTCTATAAGCAGCTATTTTCATACATTGTTCCAATAAAATAAATAACACTTGGTGTTATCCGGAAAGTGTTTAGTGATAGCAACAGAACTACTTTTATTATTATCTGCTCTGTGTGATTATATTAACAAAATAATCCCAATTTTTTAAAAAAGAGCAAAATTTGTCCTTCTTTAGAAAAAGAAAGAAGCCCACCTTTTTATAAGGTTGAAGGATATAAATGAGAGAGAATAATGAGTTTTTGAGATTTGTTACTAAGTTAGGATTTAAAATCTTCTTTGGTGGATGTATTTGAAATAGGCTAAATGTTGGTACTCTAGCATTGGACAAAACCACTTGTTCCTCTCCTCCAACACTTTGTGCCGGTGGTTATTTTTTGGGTTGGTTTTTCTTCTTCTTGGGATGGTCAGGTCTGAGATTTGGGTTTGAGTTTTTTGGAGTCAGTAGGCAAAGTAGGCCTGTTTAGGCAAAAGGCCTTCCAGTACTCCAGTCTGGCGCCCTGGAGTTCCACAGTGGGGTCTGTTCCGTGCATATGTGACCCTTGGTGGTCTCAAAGGGAGAACTACTCTAGGGCGGGATTTGGGTTTTCTTGGCTCTAGCCTGATACTAACTTAATTTTACCACAGACTGATCCCAAGAGTAGGTTAGGATGTTTGGGATACTGTTTCTTGGCTATATATTATATCTATCTATAATATCTATCGCTCCCCAATCACCGCACCATTTTAGGTAACTCTCAGGATTCTGAGTGATTTTTTTTTTCTGTTTCTGCACTGTTCAAATTTCCTAAAATGAACATGTTTTGTTTTTATTGAAAATAACTTTTAAAAAAAATAAAATAGACTACAATGAATTCTTATCCATCTAGAACTAGTTTAGTTTACATTTGAGAAGAAAGGGAAGAGTTCAGAGATTGTATAAACTGTTAAGTACAATTCTGTAGTAAGGTGGAAAAAACAACTTGCAAATTAGATGAGAATGAAAAGTTTATGACAAAAGTACCAAGATCTAGGGAAGGACCTTAGACAAAAGGTTTATAGTCTGAATAGGGAGGAAGCAGATGAGACATAAATACTGCTGTGTATTCAAAAATAGAGCCTGACAAAGCCAAAACACTTTCTAAATATTAACTTTTGATCTGACTCAGTGATCCCATGATAGGCACATCTGTCTATCAAATGGTAAAGTAAAGCAAAAGATAAAATTATTTGTCTGTGCCCAGAAATAAAATTCAGGAATCTGTGCCTTTTTGCCCTTTATCATAGCAGCATAAACAGCTTACAGCTGTCTCTGTGTGAGTATGTTAGGGAAAGTAAATTGGTTACAGGGTTGTTTAGTAGCTAGCAATGTGGAAGCTGAGTCTAAACTAATAGTAGACAAGTCAGATCAGAACCAATTCTAAGCTTGAAAAAGTGTTTTGGGTGTTACTCTTTTTGCTCAACATGAAAGATTATGTATATATATTTTTTAAAGATTTTATTTTTTTCCTTTTTCTCCCCAAAGCCCCCCAGTACACAGTTGTATATTCTTCATTGTGGGTCCTTCTAGTTGTGGCATGTGGGACGCCGCCTCAGCGTGGTTTGATGAGCAGTGCCATGTCTGCACCCAGGATTCGAACCAACGAAACACTGGGCCGCCTGCAGCGGAGCGCGCGAACTTAACCACTTGGCCATGGGGCCAGCCCCGAAAGATTATATTTTTAAAGGCCCATTCTACTATGTCAAAACATTCTCATTAAGAAGTTAGGAAGCCATTGTCCTGGAAATGAAAAGTTTTGGCTTTCCCCTGTGTTGAATCCTCTAGTTTTGGGGAGTTGAAAATTAGGCCAGATGCTCCAGAAGAAGATGATCAGTAATAAAGTATGACTTGATGGATTTCCCTTTGTTGCCAGAAGTAAGGCGAAATGAGCTGGGGGGGGGGTGTATGTCAAAGACCTGTTTTTCCCCAGCAGGTGTGGAGTTTCCAGAAGAAACAAACAGATCTCCTTATTGCCTTTTATAAGCATAGAATTACAAAGTTAGAAGCAGCTGTGCAGGAGGCACAGCAAACTGTGACCAGCCAGGACAAGTAAGTGACAAATCAAATCACCAGAGAGCTTTTTTCCTTTCAGAGAAGCTGTAGCCCTTATTTCCTTATGATACAAAGCCTGAAAATTGCTGCATATGTGTTTATGTTTGTTTTGGGCAAATCAGGTAATAGAGTTTTTGGTCCCCTCAATCTCCATTTTATTTTTCTCTTTCTTTCCTCAAAGGGGCCCTCCTCACTTTATAGCTTTCCTCTTTGCCTTCCCCCCTATCAAAAACTGCTTCTTCACTCAAGAAATTGGACATAGCCTTCTCACAGTGATAAAGATTTGAGAGAGCATTTAAAATGTTACCTCTGGGAGGGTGTGCTTTGGAAATCTTAACCTAAAAGGTGGGATTCTTGATGGAAATTTTCAGACATCAGCAGGCCAGGGGTGTAGATGGAGTGGAAATGGAATTCTATGTAGACACCTCTGAAACCATATCACCTGACTCCTTATTTCGTCCACCTGATGCTTCTCACCATGAAAATCCTGCCGTTGTCCCCCTGAATCACTAGATCTCTGACAGAAATACTTTGTATAGAGCAGGCATCTCTCCGTATGCGTTAACTAGATGTTTATAATAATAAAAATAAGGTTTTTTATCCCACTGACCTGCTGGAACTGATTGTTTCCATCTTTTGCCTAGAGAGCTGTCAGTCTTAAGGAAGGAGAATGGAGAACTGAAGAAATACCTAGCCATCTTAAAGGTGAATAAAGTAGATTTCCCTTACTATTTCTCTCCTACTTTTCCCATCTCTCTAGCTGACTGTATAGGATAGTGTTGCCTAACTTTTTCGCATCATGGCACGTATAACTGATAATGTCTGTACAACAAGCACACTGCAGTAAATGGACCAGGCCACAGACGACCTTGGGGGCTGAAGGGTTAATATTTAGCACCCTGGTAACCCATTCTCGAACATCAGTGAGTCACAACTCACCATTTGGGAGGCTCTCTTATAGAAGAAACATCTTTTGTAACTTAAAATGTCTCTTCAAGAATCTCAGGACCCTTCCTCTCCTCAAACTCTATTTCCTAGACGTTTCTCTCTTCCTAGGAATCTTCTTTGTGTTCATATAATGTTCCTATTGATCTTACTGTTGTAACTATTCTAGCACATTGCAATCCTGTCATTTTTCTTTCTTTCCGATAGACTCTCCATATTTCCCCACATGTATCAGTCTACAGAATTCCCAATGTGTTTTTGTGAGGAGGAACTAAAATTTTAATCCCCCAAAGCTAATAGTTTCCTAAGGAAATACTGTCGCTGTTTTTCCTCCTACTAGGAATCTTAGCAACCACAATGAGAGGACATTGCAGCTTAGTTATCTCGCAAGTAAGATCCACTGATTAGGACCCTTGAGCTGCAGCTTCCTTCACTCCCATTTTTTTCACCTACAGGAATCTCCAAGTTGGTACCAAGGAAGCAGGTCAGTTTTATCAGGCCCCATACTAGCCCTCTTTGACAGTTTCTGTTCTTTCTTGACTCTTGGCTGTAACTCCTGAGTGGGCTCTGAGGTGGAGAAAGTGGTTGATGAATTTATCTTTCACTTCTCCAAGAAAGAGTTACTCACTGAAAAGTGCTGAAGTAAAAATCTTGAATGTAATGCTCACTCTTGACCGTCCCCTTATGAAATCCTACTCCTACTTCAAAATTTGACTCACATGTCATTTCCTCTGTCAAGACTTCACACTATAATTAGTGTTCAGGTGGTGAACATGATGTAATGTATACAGAATTTGAAATATGAAATCCGAAAAAAATAAAAATAAAAAAAAAGACTTCATTAGACAGAGTTAGATGTTCTATTATTCATTTATTCAATAAATATTCATTAAGTGCCTACTGTTTATCAGGTACTATGTTAGGTTCTGGGTGTGCATCACCAGTTATTCTAATTGGTAATGTCTGTACCCTATGAATTGTTAAATATTTTTAATATCAGCCCTGTATTGATGGATTAAAAAGACATGGCCTCTGCACTCAAAGAAGTTACAGTCTAGTGTCATTTGACACTTCGGTACTTCTGATATACCTATTATAACACCTAAACATTGCTTTATTTTTCTTATTTGTCTCTCCCACTAGCCTGTGAGCCTCTCAAAAATAGGACCCATATTCCAGTTATCTTTGTAATCTCAGGATCTAGGATGTACAAGCACTAAATAAATGCTTGTTGGATAGATGGATGAGGGGATGGAGGGAGTGAGGGAATGGTGGATGTGTGAATGGATGGACAGATGGATAGACAGATGTAAAGTTGAGACTACTTGGTAATGCACTGAGGGAAGGAAGAAAGGAGGACTTGGAAACTTCTCCTATTGCAAGGAATAGAGAAGTGGAGAAGGTTTCACTTAGGGAGCTGGAGAACCAAGGAGTCTCATGTGGAATCTTTCCCTCCATATTTTGGGGTGACACCTATACTACATGATAGTAAGCAATTTGTGCTCAGAGAGGAAACTATTGTTTCTAAAAACAATGATCTGATTTATCCTCTAAGGTGGCACTTAACTTCTGCTTATAAATATTAGAACTGCCTCTTTTCTTTTTTCCCTTGCAGATCAACTACACCCCGACCAGTGGGTATTACTTCCCCGTCACAGTCAGGTAAAGAACATTTTTTGCCCAAATATCTGTGTGAGATGAATAAATATCCTTTCCCATATGGAAAATGGTTTCCTCTCAGAGACTATAATGTGATTTTCCTACTCTTATGTATGATATGAAAAGATCATATAATCAGATACCCACTTGCAACAGATTGGCTTGGCAAGGCAGACCACACCATTGGTGGTCACTTTCCATTCTGCACTCTCTTCTTTTTCAGTTACTCCACGACCCAGTTCTCAGCATAGCAGCCAAGTGGTCAGGTGAGTTGAGAGCCTACACAGCAACATTAAAACTGTTGGCAAAAGTTGGAAGATGAAAGGGGCCAGCCTGGTGGTGCAGTTGTTAAGTTCGCATGTTCTGCTTTGGTGGCCCGGGGTTCACTGGTTTGGATCCTGGGTGCGGACCTAGGCACTGCTTGTCAAGCCATGCTGTGGTAGACGTCCCACATATAAAGTAGAGGAAGATGAGCATGGATGTTAGCTCAGGGCCAGTCTTCCTCAGCAAAAAGAGGAGGATTGGTGGCAGATGTTAGCTCAGGGCTGATCTTCCTCAAAAAAAAAAAAAGCTAGAAGGTGAAAGAAATCTTGGTGTGGCTGAGATAGGGACTGAGGAGACTTTAGATCTATGTAGGTCTATGTAAAAGTTTAACATCAGGTTGGTTTGTTTGTTTCCTTTTGTCTCACCTTATACAGCCGGTCCTCCTCAGTGGAGTCTATCCCTTACAGAGTGGCTGGCTTTGGTAGCTTGGGACAAGTAAGTCATATTTACCTTCTCTTTCCAGATTGAGATTTCCAATGCTAAATGAAAGCATTTTAAACTTTTTAAAACATTTTTAAAACTTACATTATTTAAACTTACAAGAATATTAAACTTACATTGGTTTTGGCATAAATTATCTGATGCCTTTCTTGGACTCTCTTTTCTGTTGGCAGTGCAGACCTGATGTTAGAAGCTGACACTGAGGATGAATAGGGGTGAAAATGGTGAAAGTGTTCAAGGACTAAATTAACAGTGTCCCTCATGTTTATTTTGGAAGTAATAAAGTGTGGATCCTTCTTGGATCACTCTGGGAGAACACAGTATGCTTCAATGTGTAGATATAGAGAAATAATAAGGAATATGTAAGCCAGAAAATCAGTATATATTTACTAATTGATGTTTATTATTTGTCCATCAGGGAGCCAGAGGCCTGCAGGGAAGGAGCACTCCCAGAGACTCTTTTACTGGTGAGAGGGGCAAAACGGTGTCAGAGGGGCTGGCCCAGTAATGGTTAACTGTGGCATGCTCCACTTCAAGGGCCTATGTTCGTTCACAGGTTTGGATCCTGGGCTTACACCACTCATCAGTCATGGTGTGGTGGTGACCCACATACAAAATAGAGGAAGATTGGCGAAGATGTTAGCGCAGGGCAAACGTTCCCCAGCAAAAAAAACCAAAAAAAAAGTCGAGAACCAACATATTCTGTGCAGATATGAGATTTCTGCTTTTCTGTACGTAATATACACATCACTTGATGGGGATATGTTCTGAGAAATGCGTTATTAGGTGATTTCATCGTTATGTGAACATCATAAAATGGAATGGCCTACCACACACCTAGGCTATATGGTACTAATCTTATGAGAGCACCATCCTATATGCAGTCAGTTGTTGACCAAAACGTTATTATGTGTTGCATGACTGTTATGCCATTTTACTTTGTTTGTTACCACACAGTGATTCCAGGTATCCAGACATATGTTACTACTTTTCAAATAATGATATTTCTGTTCTCAAACTGATAAGGGGAAAATAAAAAGTCGAGCAATAGAAAGTCACTGAAAGCCTCTGGTCAGGAGAGGGAGGATAACTTTTGAGTAAAATAATTGACTTGGATTTTTTAAATTGCCACAAGGTGGCAGTAGAAGTTAGGCTTAAAAGGAAGCTTAACTAGATGCTGTAATTATGTTAGCCTGAAGGGTATATGTGGCTTCTTCACTGTGTATTAAACATAAAAATATTCCAGAAAAGAAATATTTTGGTTCCACCCACTTAAGTTCTTGTTTCTTTCTTCTTATGAGACTGATGCGCTGCCTACTGCACTGAGAAGGCCGTCTTGTTTCTTTTCAGAACTGTTACTGTTTTCTAGAACATTTGTCATTCCACAGAGAAGACTTACCAGAGAGGATTTTTCTTTCTTTCACAGGAGGCATTCTTTTTAATTTTTTTATTGAGGTCACATTGGTTTATACTATTATATAAATTTCAAGTTTGGGGGCCAGCCTGGTGGCATAGTGGTTAAGTTCGCTCACTCTGCTTTGGTGGCCAGGAGTTTATGGGTTTGGATCCTGGGCGCAGACCTACACATGGCTCATCAAGCCATGCTGTGGCGGCATCCCACATACAAAATAGAGGAAGACTGGCACAGATGTTAGCTCAGGGCCAATCTTCCTCACCTCCCCCCCCAAAAAAAATTCAAGTGTACATTATATTTCAACTTCTGTATAAACTACTTCGTGTTCACTACCAAAAGTCTAGCTGCTGTTTGTCACCATACAAATGTGCCCCTTTACGCTTTTCACCCTCCCGCCCTTCACTTCTGGTAACCACCAATCTGTTCTCTGTATCTCTGTGTGTGTTTGTTGTTGTATCTTCCACATATGAGTGAAAATGTAATGGTATTTGGCTTTCTCCATCTGACTTATTTCGCTTAGCATAATACCCTCGAGGTCCATCTGTGTTGTTGCAAATGGCAAGATTTCATCTTTTTTATGACTGAGTAGTAGTCCATTATATATATATACCACATTTTCTTTATCTATTCATCTGGGGATGAGCACTTAGATTGTTTCCAAGTCTTGGCTATTGTAAATAATGCTGCAATAAACATAGGGGTGCATATATCTCTTCAAATTTATGTTTTTGTTTTCTTTGGATAAATACCCAGAAGTAGAATAGCTGTATCATATGGTATTTCTGTTTTTAATTTTTTGAGGAATCTCCATACTGTTTTCCACAGTGGCTGTACCAGTTTGCATTCCCACCAGCAGTATATGAAGGTTCCCTTTTCTCCATATCCTCTCCAACATTTGTTATTTCTTTTCTTTTCTTTTTTTTTTTTGAGGAAGATTAGCCCTAAGCTAACTGCTGCCAATCCTCCTCTTTTTGCTGAGGAAGCCTGGCCCTGAGCTAACATCCATGCCCATCTTCCTCTACTTTATATGTGGGATGCCTACCACAGCATGGCTAGCCAAGTGGTTCCATGTCCGCACCCAAGATCCAAACCGGCAAACCCCAGGCCGCCAAAGCAGAACATGCGCACTTAACCGCTGTGCCACCAGGCCGGCCATATTTGGTTCTTTTTAATATAATTTTCTTTATTAGTATTCTCTATTTGTTGAGACTCCATTTTCGTGCTTTCCTTTAGTGCTTTAGACATGGTTTCCTTTAGTTTTCAGAACATACTTAAAACAGCTGACTTAGAGTCTTTATCTAGAAAGTCCAATGTCTGGGTGTCCTCAAAGACAGTTTCTATTGATTGCTTTTTTCCTTTATCAATCATACTTCCTTGTTTCTTTGCATGCCTTGTAATTTTTTGTTGAAAACTGAACATTTAAAATAATATAATGTGGCAACTCTAGGAATCAGATTCTTCCCCTTCCCCAGGGTTTGTTGTTGTTGCTGTTTGTTGTTGTTTGACTTTTTTTTAAAAGTTTTTTTGTCTGGATAGTAGGTAAGTTGGGTTTTTTTTTGAGGAAGATTAACCCCAAGCTAACATCTGCTGCCAATCCTCCTCTTTTTGCTGAGGAAGACTGGCCCTGAGCTAACGTCCGTGCCCATCTTCCTCCACTTTATATGTGGGACGCCTACCACAGCATGGCTTGACAAGCGGTGCATAGGTCCACACCCAGGATCCAAACCAGCCAACCCTGGGTGGCCGAAGCAGAATGTGTGAACTTAACCACTATGCCACCAGGCCGGCCCTTGTTGTTTGACTTTTTTAAACTAATTTTTTTTTTTTAAAGATTTGCACCTGGGCTAACAACTGTTGCCAATCTTTTTTTTTTTCTGCTTTTATCTCCCCAAACCGCCTGCCCCTCCCCCCCCCGCCCCCCGTAAACAGTTGTATGTCTTAGTTGCAAGTCCTTCCAGCTGTGGGATGTGGGATGCCACCTCAACGTGGCCTGATGAGCGGTGCCATGTCCGCGCGCCCAGGATCCGAACCCTGGGCTGCCGCAGCGGAGCACGCAAACTTAACCACTCGGCCACAGAGCCAGCCCCTAAACTAATTTTGTAAAATCCATATTCTTTGTCATGTGTGGCCACTGAAGTCTCTGTTCAGTTAGCTTAGTGGTCAGCTAGTGATTGGACAAAGATTTCCTTAAACATCTGGAGCCAGTGAGTCTCTCAGTCTTTGCTCAGGGACTGTGTGTGTGTGAGGCTGCACTTTCAGCAGTCATCCAGGCAGTTGACAGCTGTGTCTTAGCCTTCACTTCTTGCTTGTATGTTCTCAAGGCAAGCACCAGATGAGAGCTTAGGGCCTTTTCAGTTTTTTCCTGAGTGTGCACACAGTCCTGTGCATACACTTGCCCTAGATTTCCAAAAATGTGTGTTGCTTTCCAAAGTCCCCATGGACAACTCATTCCCCAGCTTTTCCTTTTATACTTTTTGGTTAGTCTGTTGTTTGCCCTATTGATATTCACCTCCTCAGGCATCCTAAACAGGTGTCTCTAATTGTTTGCCACCAACACTTCTGGGGAAAAGGCATTTCACACTTGGTGAACTCTAAGCTCCAAGTCCTGGTAAGTTTGGGCTCCAAGTCAGGTCAAACAGAGGCAGCCTTGCAAGTGGAGTCTCCAGTGAACCACTCGACAGGTCAGTGATGACAGTTCTCTGGGAATGCGGCTTTGAAAGAGCTCCAACCCTGTTCCATCCCCTGTAGTGACTGCCAGGTTGCTTTTCAAGGCTGCCATGGAGCTGAAGGAGAAATGGGAATAGGGCAAGTTAAAATGCCACAAAGCTCACTGTTCTTACCCACATTCAGCTATTTTTCTGGAATAAACATTCCTCAGATTGCTGCAAGCTCTTTGTTAATTTCCAGAGTTCTGAAAAAGTTGATTCTGACAATTTTGGTAGTTTCCTCATTCCTTTTAGAGAGAGAATTTTTGGAGGTCCTTACTCCACCATTTTTGCTGATGTCACTCCTAGCCAATTTAATAACCCTTTGCCTTTAGTCATGCTTTCTGGTAATCTCCATCTTAGAGGCAAAACCAAGGCACGGATACATTAGGGCACGTCAAGGCTGGGATGGATCCTGGCCCCCAAACTCATGAAAGGGAGAGGAAAGCTCCTGTATGAGACACTGCTAGGTGATTTGTGAGCTTTTCACTTGCCATTAGCCCCTAAACCTAACATATATTACTGAAAACCTTTGATCCCCAGTTCCTTTGCCCTGACCTCCAGTATACCTGAATCTCTTCTCTAGTTCATGGATTATCTCACAAACTCATTTTTATGTTTTCCAGAAACCCCTTCACCAGCTTCCACTCACAGCCTATCTTACAGGTGAGTACCTCTGTGCTTCCTTTCACTTGGGATCTGTTCACACTCACACTCAGCCAGCAGCCCTGGGGTTACTGCTCCACTGGCCTGTACCACTGAGGTTTATAATCTACCTTGTAAACAAAAGAGAAGGTTGAATAGGACTGTCTAATATATATCCGAACTACTTAATTTTATTCTCTGCTGCAAGCAGGGGATTTATTCTTTTCTGGACTAGATGTATAGGCTCTTCCTTTACATATGCTTTTCACCTTTACCCTTCCTTTTCTCTGCTGATGCTTTTATTTCCCTTCTTAGACCTTCATCTGCCTCCTCTGGACAAGGGATCTTTTCTTTCAGACCATCCCTAAATGGAGTCCTCACCCCCAACAGTTCAGGTAAGTTACATAACATTCCCAAAGGAGTGGAACTTAAACTATTGACATACATATTAAAATGAAGATTTTCAGGGTGAAAAGAAGTTGGGATTTGCGCTCCCTACCCCCAAGAGCATCGTTTCCAGTGTGATTCTTCAAGAGTTATCCCATTTCCTTCACAGTGAAGGGGGCTTTGGATTTTGCCTAAATAGCACTCATCGTGTCACTGGTCTAGTCATGCTATTTAGCCAGAAGGTCACCTGAAGAATTAAAAATTAAACTGCCTTTTTTTTTCTTTTGAGATTCCTATGTTTGAACATTGCTGGGAGCTCAGTTCTGAATGAGAATGATAAAACCAGTACCCTTTTTTCTCTCCATCTTGTTAAAAAAGTGCCTCTGTTACCAGTCTTCCTGGTAAGGGGCTGTCATCTTCCATAGCTCACCAAAATCTTTATATTACCTCTACATCTTTCTACTCATAGTTAAACTCAAATCTCAGACCTCTCTGTCAGCATCCTATCCTCAGAGGAAAAGAATGAACTTTATAACCCACCTCTTAAATTATTTAGCTAACTGTCTTTTCCCTTTGGAGTAGCATACTGCAGATTGAGAACTACTCATTTACCCCCATCCATAAGTAACCCTGCCAAAGAACTGCCCAAGGAAGTTATCTTTCACCATCCACTCTATCCTTCAGGTCAGAGGGAGAGGAGAACCACACCAGAGAGCCTTCCTGGTTTCCAGCTACCAGTCCTGCAGGTGAGCCCTGGCTAGTCTAAGTTGTCTGTGCATGAAAAGCTCCCAGGTTGGGCCTGTGCACTAAATGCCTCCTGTTAAGGTTAGAATGTAACCAATGGAGAATGACATAGGTTTCAAGAATGGTAACCGTATGCTCACAGTTTTCCAGAATGGTCTCAGTTCCAAAGATTCTGTCCTGTCAGATTAGCTTCCTGGTTTGGGGTTTAAAAATTAGGTCACACAGTAGTGAAAGGCTTTAAACTGAGAGGTCTTGGCCATCGTGAACTAAGTTTGTGGACACAACTGACATTCCCAGAAGTTCCACAAAGTAAGTATTTTCACTGGAATATATCTTTAGGGTAGAGGTACTGCTTGAACTAGGAAAAACCATGTTTGCTTCTCCAGAGATAGCTAGAATAATATTTTGTAAATTTATGGGACTATGATTCTGATGCAGGCAACAAGAGGAAAAGGGCATGGGAGTGAGGAGAGAGGTTTCTAAGAAGCTCTATTAAATGAAATGTCCGGTCTTGCCTTTTAAGTTAACTTTTGTGGCTTGGGTTTTGAGAATCTTCAGGCCCTTTTCCATGCCAAGCTCTTGGTGACCCCAGGGACATACTAAAGTACCCAAATATTTTGCTTTCATATTCCAAAATGCCCTTTATTTTCATCAGCAAGAAATTAGGGTCTAAGTCCTAAGAGGCAACACTAGGGAAATAAATCCTCCTCTCAGATCCTCACTGATGGAGGGATTAACCTACAGAGGAGAAAAGACTTATGAGACATATAAACCATCTACAAACACGTGGCCCCTAATTGGATCTTGATTGAAACAAACTATAGAAACCATTTATAAGAAAGTTGAGGAAAATTGAATACCTAGTGGACACTTGATACTAAGGAACTGTTAATAGTTTTTTTGTAGGCATGATGCTATTGTGGTTATTTTTTTTTAAATAGTCTATCTTTTGGAGATACTAAAATACTAATGGATAGGAAGCTAAATAGTTGTCTGGGTGTTGCTTTAGTATAGTCTAGTGGACAGGGGCAGTGAGAGAGTAGAAAGAAAAATTGGCTGAGTTATTTGTTGAAGTTGGGTGATGGGGACATGTGAGTTCATTATAATACTCTGCTTTTGTATTTTTCAAAATTACCATAATTAAGTTTAAAAAAAGAGTTATTAAAGAAAGTGCCACCTTCCCAGAGGCATCAGAATGCTGTCTCTCTGGTAATCATCTCTGGGCATGGTAGTCATACATTCCAGGTCTTCCAAAGTAGTGTTTCAAATATTCTGCCACCTTATCACCATAAAACACTGAAATGTTCCCGAGTTTCATAAGTAGCAACAAAGCCTTTGTCATGCCAGGCCTACTAAATCTGTTTGGAAACGTTACCATGCAATGGAGAAAACTATGGGGAAGCAACAGCAGTGGTTTACTGTCCCAATAAACTTCACATAATGGCTGGACAGGGCCTTACTTACCCTTTTTGTTGTAAATACCCATATCTGCCTTCCTGTCCTCTGCTGCAGACTCTCTACCAACAGAGGCAGATGGCATTAGCCAGGGGGAGAGAAGCATGGACCACTTCCAGATAGACCGTCTTCAAGGTCTGATCTATACATACTGCTGAACGACAGATTGTAGCATCCAATACCCATTTGGCATGATGGCCTTGGAAAATGTACCCCTGCCTTGTTTCTTGGTTTCACTCTGTACCTTATCTTTCTCGATCTTTACCATATACACCCTGTATTACCTCCTAGGAAAGTAGTCAGGTCTTATATAAGGCTTGTGCTTCAGGAGGATGTTTCTATCTCTCTTGCAAGACATACGTAGCTCCTTCATTTCCTATAACTTGAAACAAAGGTTGTAAAAACAATTCTTGGCATCACTGGGTATGGGGGTAATATACTCATTACCTGTGTTTTATTTCTGGCTTTCATTTTTGGATATGTATTCTCCCATTGCCAATGTTAACAAGCAACAACTCTGTTCCTTGTCCTAATTTATTATACTTTTTCTGTTTGCCTGTTGTTTCCTCTGCCTAGTTACTATTAAATGTGTTGATTTTCCTTTCTGATAACGGTTGCAGACAGACTTTAAGCTCACTAAAGTACATACATAATAAAATAAAGAGGATGCCCTTTCATTGGTATTGGAACTCTGTTGGTATTACAAGCTGTAGAATGGTGGAATGGGCAAAGAACACTACCACTGAGATCAAACACTTACTCTTCTTTGGGTACTAAGAAGTAGAAATGAGGAATTAAATGAGTGGGCCACTGGCAGGCAGGCCTTAATAAAAAAATATTGGAAAAATGTAAAGACAGCCAACATCTGCCAGAAATAAATTAGGTCTTGGGAATGACCCTGAAGCTGAACTAGGATCCCACTAGAAACTGGGATCCCCATTCTGAACTGTGAATTTATTTTTAAAGGCATTGCTGGACACCTCCTCTTCTGAGTAAGAGCCCGTGCTGTAGCAGGTGCAGGAAAGAATCTGCCTAGTGATACTGCTCTACTGCCCTTTAAAGCTTTTGTTCTTTTAATATACCTCAATATATCCTGCTGCTTCAAAAGATAAATAAATAAAGAGTATACTAAATCAGAATGTTAATGGATTTGGCTCCATTAGGCTCTAAACCATAGAAGTGGCAAAGTGGAAGAGAGAGAAACAATTTTATTTTTGGCCTTTTTATTATTCTAGCAATTTGGGCCTTCCACTCTTATTTCTAGATGGTTAATCCATTGATATCTTTATATCTGACCCCAACTGATGAAAACCATTCTAAAACATCAATAATTAGTTTAGTTAAAGACCATGGTCCCTTTGTCCCCAAGACAGATCCTATAAAGAAAGGGAAGAGTCTCTTTTTCTGGACAAAAATTGAACCAACACCAAAAAGATGAAAAATCAGTGTCTGTCAAGCTAGGCAGGAGGGAGTGTCAGGTTTGTAAAACCAAACCTGGAACCCACCTGCACTGTCTTCTGAACAGTCGAAATCATTCCCTCTCCTCTATTCTCTCTGTAACCTAATCTACTTTTTTAAAGGACATCTCCCCTAATTCCCACCTTCAATAAATATCCAGTCTAAATTACTCTCCACCAAATCATTAAACTTTTTCACAAGCTCCGTGGGGGAAGATTTACCCTGAGACAAATAGTGAACAGAATGGGGATTTTGGAAAGAGTTAAAAAGGTAAAAGGCAAAGTGACCCCAGTATCAGAAAATATTCTGCTACCTGTGTGACTCAATAATGAAGCAGGTGAAAGATACACAGTCAAGTTGGGATGAGGAAGAGGAAGTATTTGTGATGAGACGGGACATACTGAGATTCTTTGCTGCATTATGCATGGACTTGTGCTCAGAGAGAAAAGGGGTACAAGGTAGCCTTGTATTCCAGGGAAAATGCTTGGACTAGGGGAGGCACTGGAATCATCAATTGAATCAAAATTCTTTACTCCTCCTTTCCAGTCCTCCTATGGACGTGGGGCCAAAGTCTGGCCTCTCTGTAGTACACTAAGGGAAAAGAACAGCAGATAGGAGGAGAGCAAGAGGCTTTACCCAGCCCATAGTTTGGACCAGATCCTTAGCGCTCTCTTCACTGAGGCTAGAGGCCTGGATTTCCAATCCCCACCTCACTTTGTGCCCTATGGTCATCCTCCCTGGTCCACCCTCACTACATCCCCCTGGCCCCAACCTCAAGAACAGAAAGCTTTTCAGTTCTTTGCCACAAGGTAATTAAAAAAATGTGGTTTCTTTGTTTAAACAGTGACTAAATTGGTTCATCTTTTAGTAACAGACCTCCCCTCCCTCAGCCCCCCACTCAGTCCTGTATGATCACGTCATCATCATCGTCGTCGTCTTCCTCCTCCTCCTCCTCTTCTTCATCCTCATCTTCTGGCAGTTCTTCCTCCTCCTCTTCCTCCTCTTCATCTAGACAAACCACCACCTCAGCTGGCTCAGGTAATCGAGAGTCAAACCAATCCAGTACCTGCTGGGTGCTGAGCCTTGACGCCTGACTCAGTTGAGGGATGTCTCTTTCCCGTAGCTGTTGGTGGGCTGCCCAGTACCTCTCCAAGGGTCGTATATCCGGTGGGGGTGGGGGAGTTGGCAGAGGTGGTGTCTCAGCCCATTCATTCAAGGAGCGAGTTGAAGGCGGTGGTGTGGGAATTGCTGGGTCCTGGAAACTAGGGGCACCAGGGACTGCGTTGTCCCGAAACCATTTTAGTTGCCCATGCTTCAAGGCATAGCGTGTGTCACCAAACCACTGAATGATCTCTGGCCGAGGTAAACCAGTGATCTGTTCTAATTTATAGTAATCCTCCCGCCGTGCCCATTGGCATTGTAAAAAAAACGACTTGAGGATAGCCAGCTGTTCTTTGGTTTTGCGCTTGGTCTTTCGCTGGCGTTGCATATCTGGGGAAGGGTACTCTGCAGGGCCAACCCTACCTGGTACTGAGTTATGCCTTAGCCCCTGAGGCCAGGCTGGCTCCAGATGTGGGGGTAGTGCCTGTTCATTGGGTGACCGTGGTTGTGGGGTACAGCCCAGTGGCTGGAGGGGTTTAGAGGTGGCGGTAGCTCCATTAGCCAGTACCTGGAAAGAGGAAGAAGAGGTAGAGGAAGAAGAAGGAGTCATATTAGATGCTGACTCCTGCTTACAACTACTGGCAAGTAATGAGATTGGTGGGGGCTTATCCCGAGCACGTGGCTGGTGGACGGTTGTGGAGTGGTTCCAGGAAGCAGTACCTAGGCCATGTGACTGGTCAAGACCCCTGCCCGCCTGCTCCTTAGAGAGGCCACTACTTTGAAGATCCTGCCAAAAATTTGATTGGTGGGGGAATGCCCCACTGCCAGGTGCCATCAGGGGCTCCTTTGCTTTCTGGTGACTCAGTGGCTGTGAGGACTCCTCAGGCTCTACCTTTAATCCTTTCATCTGGGTGGGCTCGCTAAGATTCAGGGGCACTATTGCAAGACCAACTTGTTCTGGAGGTGGCACTGGAGAAGGAGGCACCTCCTCTGGGGGCCGCCCTGCATGATGAGTAAAAGAGAGAAGGGATTTGAAATGGAGTTGGTCCCGATGGTAGACCACTCGGGCTCGAGTCTCTTCTATTTCTTCAGATGACCAGCTAATGCCACAGCGGAGGCGCTGGGCCATGAACCAAGTCTTGACTTTCTCCATCTGCAGCCCATAGCGTAGACAGAGAAGGGCAATATCTGCTAGACTGGGATAGGGAAAGTTGCTGAAGGTTTGTAGCAAGTGTTCATTGCCATCCAGCTCACTGGTCTGGGCTGCTTGGGTCCACACAAGCTGGAGTTCCTCGGAGATTGGAGGGAGGCAGATGAGCCCCGCGGGGGAGCTATTAAGACTGCTGGCCTCTTTATTAGGAGGCATGGTGTTTTCTGATTTGTGCCCTTCAGAGATAGCTGTAATAAGAAGAGAAACAGCTCAATCACTGGGGCTCATCTTTGGCCCATTGCTTAATTTCTACCAAACAAAATGTTGGACTCCAAAACAATTAACTTCCTATGTGTACTGTGCTGGATTGCATTTAAAGTGCTTTAACAGTTTCCTATTTTCATAACCTTATGAAGTCATCAGAGCCTCTATAATTCCCATTGTATGTATGAGAAAACCAAAGTCCACAGAAGTTAAATTATCCCAAGTCACATGACTAGTGAGTACTGTCACCAAGACAAAATCTGTCTTTAGAGGGTAAGGAGGAAAACTCATCCTTACATAGCCTTTATCTTTCCAATTCAAACTCACTTCACCCTCTAGGTTCATGGAACAAGAGTTACAAAATGAAGACTCAACCACAAAAACAAGACGAGTGGTAATCTCAGAACTGTTCCAAACTTTTTTAGCTCCTAACAATTTATGATTATCTCTAGAATGTGGTGAAAGGTCGGGAATATACTGGATGAATATCTAGAAGGTAGGACAGCACCGTTCCTCTGCCCAGCCCCCAACCACCTTTTCTTTCCCTTCTTAGTGGTGGAGTGTTGGGGGAGGGGAAAGATAGTACCTTTAAGCCCTAAGCCCAGACCTGATAGTTTTATTTTTAATTTCAGTAGGAGAGGTCAGATAGCTGGGATCAATGGGGCTTACTCTCCACTGGGTTTAGGTCTGGTGAGAGTAAAGAGAGGGGACTGTTTCCCCCCCAAGTCATGCTTGGAACAATGGTTACCCCTCCCCCTAGCCTTTGTCTCTTCCAACTGCTCAGTCTCTCTCCAGGGAGCCTAGAGAGCTCCCTCAGACTTTAGCAGCCCCCTCCACACAGGGCGGAAGGCCTGCAGCTCTTATCTCTCAGTCCAGCTTTCTTCTCGTGACCAGGTAGGCAGGCTCATAATAAACTGTAGCCAGGTCCCACAGGCTACCCAGCAGCACCAGCTCCCAGGGTTATGGGTGCGGAGACTGCAGGGATAGCCCCCACTGTGCTTCATTCCTGAAACACCTGCTCCACTTATTTCCCAGAACAGTTCTGTTGACTGAATTTTAACTCGGCTCTATGTGTGGGCGTTAGAGACTCTTTAACACATCTGTCACCCTTTACTCCTAGAGGAATCCCATCTGAGTTTATAAATATTACTTCTGACAAATTTTTAAGGACAGGACAGGATTCCTATGTAAATGCTACATGATGAATTGAGAAAACTCTCAAGTCCAGAGAGTTAGAGATAGAGCAGTGTAATATCGGGGATTTTATATGATGATGAGAAAGATCTGGAAGCATTTTAATGTGTGTCACCATTCCCTTTTAACAAGTCAATTTAACAAACTGAAGGCCATGCAGAGATCCTAAAAGCAACACAGCTTGAAGAGAACCTTAAAGGGTAAATCGAGATAGTATGGCAAAGTGGGTAGAAATGATTCTTGAGTAAGGCCAGCCTGCAGTTTGAATCCCAGTGCTGGACTTACCAGCTATGTGATCCTGGGCAAAAGTTACTGGACTTATATGAGCCTTGGTTTCTTCATGTGTAAAAAATGGAGACAGTGCTAAGTGTATGTAAAGTTATATTTTACCCAACACCTACTATGTGCTAGGGGTCATCTGTAGGAGGTCCTGTTAGAGGGGGAGGTCTGGGGTGAGGCAGATTTAATGAACTGCAGCTCCACCATTTCCTACAGTGCTGCTGCCCTTGGGCAAGTTATTTACCCTTTCTAAGCCTTGTTTCCCATTGAAAAACAGGAGGTCAGAACAGCACCTACTTTGCAAGCTTATGACTAAATGAAAAAGTGCACCTGACGTTATGCCTAGAACAAAGTAAAGGCTCAATACATAGAAGCTTTTCTCATTACTTGAGCCTCATGGGGTGATTCTGATATAAGGTAATGCTCCTCCTAGACAACGGGGGAAATGAGCCAAAGACTGAAATCCTCTAAAATCACTGTTTTCAATCTGTTTTTGTAGAGTCTTAATTCTATGATTTTACATTTTTGGACTTGGATATAATTCCAGAATGGATTTTTCTGCTTTAAAAATGAAAGTCACTGCTTTAGGAGAATTGAATCCATAATTTGGATATAAAGTCTTTCTGACTGCCAGGTGGACTGCAACGTGGTAGCTCTACCTTTCACCCTCCAGGTTCATTTTGGACACAGCTGAGTAGCCTGTGAGGACTTGCTTGCACAGCCATTTAGAAATTGTGGCCCACCAGGAACACCACCAAATCTAAGCTGGAGAATATTTTATGATTGCAATACTTGACACTTAGTTAACCTTATTTGTGTCCTGTTCTTAAGAACACAATAGCACTTTAGATAAGAAGAAAATGTAGCATAAGGAATACAGCAGTCCAGTGTGAGGATGAAGACTGCCAGACAGGAACATAAGGCAGGCACAGCAAGAAGCCTACAAAGAGGCATTTTTGCTTTCATTCATGTGGTTTATGATTCCTGATTCTCATGGCATCAGCTTGGTATTTCACTGTAACGTGCAGTAATGCAAATATCATATTTGGTGTACTATATACATCCACAGTTTTCCAATTAGTCAAAACACAGGTTGTGGAAGACTTCTTGATACAGAATGGTGTATCAAATCAGGCTTAAATCAAAGCACAGCTGTATAGCTGGTATCTCCCTGTTAGAATCTGGCTTTGAAGTAGGAAGACACTACAACCAGAGAGTGACTCAGGAGAACTCTAACAAGTAGGATAGACCCTACAGTAATCAAAACCACAGTGAAGACACTACAGTGTCTTGTGTTCTTGTGCCTCCATTTGGTGAGGGTAGAAAAAGGACTTCTATTGGCAGAGGTGGTGGCAGTGGAGATGGGAATATCAATTCTGAGTAATTACTAAACTTGTATCCTTAAATATGCCAGATATGTCCTACTGCTACTTAAAGTCACTAATTAAAAATATAGAGCCAGGATAACACCCTTCTTTCCCTTTGAGCTTTCTATACCCCTGGGCAGATGGGAGAAAAGAATGGGCTGCCTTAAACTTATCTGGGTGTTCACACAATCCTAGAAAAAGCGGTGTTCAGAACTTAAGGCTTGAGCCTAGGCTTATGACGAAAGCAGGAGAAAGTTCAAGTGGGACACTAGATATGATCCTGTTAAATTCCCTAAATCTTTATTCAGAGAACTGAAGAATGCCTGAAATGTGTGTTGTTGATACAGTTTTAAGGACCTTAAAGGATGTTTAGTGATTTTCAACGTATGTGCTTCTTAACTTTTTGGATTATGAACTTCTTTGAGAATGGATAAAAGGACCTTAGAAAGTTATGCCTACCCCCTTCCCCCCACCAAAATAGACATTCACACTTACACATTATATGTATAATCTCAGGGGGTCACTGGCTGCCCAGAAGCCCAGGTTAAGAACTTCTGCTTTATGTCCTCAAAACTTAATAAAGGCAATGGTGGTAATTGCTTAAAGAGGAACAAAAAGCTTAATGTGAATGAATGGAAAGAGAGGATGGAAGACAAGAATCTGAATAACTCTGGAAGGGACTGGGTATTGGTGATGCTAGTTGGCAAGAGTGGAAGGGAGGGGTGTTCAATTAGGCCAGGAGCCTGGCTTAACTGACCCACTGGATTACATGACCAATACCCATAGTGCACTGGACACTAGAGCTGGGGAAGCTACTCCCTAGTATGCCAAAATCATCTGCTTCCTTCAGCTGCCCTGTGTGGTTGGGCCAGTTGTGTGTGATTCCAAACCTGGTTATGCCCGTTGTTTTTCTATATTTATAAATAACTAATTAAACAGCACATAAACCTATGAAAAATCAGTGCATTAAAAACTGTTCCTATGAAAACAAAGTCAAATGCTTTGGAAAGACATAATACAAAGGAGTGCACATTATAAAAATTGTTGAGAGTAGGTAAGACAACTGTAAAAGATTTTTTTAAGGGGACTTAATCTGAAAAGTATTCTGCATTCAGATTGCTTTAAAAGTGTTTACATTCTCATTCCACTTTAAAGAAACCAAACCTGGAAATCACAGATGATGAGAGGCAGTGGCTCCTGTCTCAGACTGCACGTTAGAATTACCTGGGAAACTTAAACCAGGCACCCTCCTACTCTTTCTGACTTAATTAGTCTGGACTGGGGCCCAGGCTTCAGTAGTTTTAAAAAGTTCTCAGGGTGCAGCCAGATTTGAGATTTGCTTGTGTAATTTATACTAGAAAGACAATTGGGAACTCCAGTCAGCCGACTTACACAAAGAAAACGCCTGGACTACCCCAAAAGATTGGTGAAATGAACGTATTTTTAATGACAATGCTTAAGATATTTATTTGCATCATTTAAAAAATTCCCAACTTCAACTGGCTGTTTTGGTTTTTTCAATTACTGCCATCTACCTGTCCTAATCATACAATATAAAAGGGCTTCAAATGTATGGTGAGGAGGTTCATATGATAAAAGACCTGATCTGGGCCCACATTACCAAACAGGTCTCAGCTTGAGTCTTCTTTCAGTTTAGAAGTCTCAGATTAGGACGCAACACCGGGAACCTCTGGGGACTCGGGTTCTCACTTTCCTGGTTGGTTTTCTGAGTATGGCTGGGGAGGGGGTCAGAAGGGGCAGTTTCTCCTAAACCTTTCATTCCCAAAGGCCACTGCTCCCCAGAAGTAAGGCCAGGTTTCTGTACGTGTGCTGAGGTCGCCGGGAGGTAGTCGTGGAGGGGAGGAGGGGAGGCCTGGGAAGGAAACGTTTTTCCTAGCCTCCATTTCACAGGCAGTCTAGAAGGCTCCAAACTGGGTCAGAGAACAAAAAGTTGCTGCACTTGGGGCGATGAGCCCCAGGGAGCAGGCGAATCTCAATCCTCCCCTCGCCAAGGGCGTCCCACCCAGCCTTCCCCTCCTCCCTACACACCCACTCACCCTCCCCCAGTTACAACAGGGAACCGAAAAGTCCAGAGGAGAAAGGAGAGAGAACCGGGCGACTTCGAACCTAGAGTTCTCCTCCCCCCAGCGCGGGGACGGGGCTCCGGAGGTCGGAGATCGTACGGGGGCTGGGAGGGGGAAGTCGAAGGGGCTGGGGATCACTCACCGCGGTCCGGCCCGGGCGGCGGCTCCCAGCCTCGCACCATGGGCCGCGGGGGGAAAGGGGGAGAAAGGGCAGGGGGGCCTCCGGGGTAGGAGTGGGCTTCCCGCCCGGTGCGGCCTGCTCCGAGCCCACCCGCGATGAGGGCCGGGACCGGGACTGCCCACCCCCCCCCCCCGCCACCGAGAGCGCGCCGGCTAGCCCAGCCCTGCTCCAGCGAATTGGAGGCGGGGCGGATGGGTGGGGCGGGCTCTGGGGGCGGTGCCACGGTGGCCCGAGTTCCGATTGGTGGGCGCAGGCAGGAGGGTACGGGCGGAACGCACTGGGCCGGCCATTGGCTGCGTGGGTCTCGGCTGAAGTCGACTATTGGCTGCATGGGCCTCAGCCCGGGTGGCTATTGGCTGCGTGGAGATGTCCCCCGGGGCCAGGGTGCCGCGAAGGGTACCTCCCCCAATCCTCGACCTATCCGCGCCGGAGCTTCCCAGTACCCTGGGCCATGTTCCTCCCGGAATTCCCCAAGGAATTCACAGCAGTTTGCTGAACTTTCAGATCGCGTACAACTACTCCCCATGTTTCCTCTTGAAGGAAGACTTTTTGAGCATCCCCTTGCCAGCCTTACACTCGAGCCGCGCCTTCCCAGCCGAGGGCCCAACCGCTGTCAGCAGCGTCACTGTAAACGAAGCGCCTAGAGCAACCAGGAACTTGTTCGAGATGGATCAAATGTCTTGCCACCCGGAAAGACGAGGATGCTAGCAGCCCGGCGCCTTTGGCCCCTTCCCGGGTCCAGCTTGCATCGGACAGGTGTTCTCAAAAACGAAGCGCTGGAGGGATCACCTCCTTGCAAACCACCCCTCTCTGCCCTAATAAAGAAGACCTGGAGCTCTGCCTCATATTTCGGGACCTTGGTTTTCACTGTCAAGGAAGGGATGACAATAAAATATACTTTTCACCAAAGCAGTATTCCACACACTCCGAAGTTCTAGGCCAAAAGTTTGCATATTTGGGATTCTCACTCTTCTGACTAAAACTTGGGAACAATACTTTCTGAAGTGACTCTTCTGTTCTCATGCTGGTCTTTGAAAAAGTCTCTTCTTACTTATTTAGGTCACTTAATAGCTTATATAGTAGTTACAATAATTTATAAAGCAATTTCAGACTTTGCCCTATATTTTGCAGACCTCACCTCTCCCCATATACCCACCAAAAGCCAGCCGCCATAACTGCTACTTCTGATTCTTCATCGCTCTGCTTTAAGGTCTAGAGCTCTTTCAGGGTTGCCAGACATCAGAAATATTATCTCTACTTCAGCAATGAGCCCTATTTTCTGTTGCTGGTCTTGTGTTTGCCCCTGCCTCCCCCCTCTCCCTTATTACATTCAGTAACAATCTCAACTCCTAAAAGTCAGCCCCACGTCCTTCAAACTAGTATCCAGCAAAAGCATCATAGGCGTAAACAACAGAAAGACATATACTCAGTTTTAAATTCAGGAAGTTTTGATCCCTCAGAGTTTAAGCCAGGGCTGATAGTATATACAGACCTTTTCCTGAATCGTGACTATTACAATGCCCCAATGATTTGTATGTAATGAAGGAAGGGAAAAGTGAAACATTTTAGGCAGCGGCAGCCCTCAGTTTTCAGTGGAGAGGTCATTCTCTCATAATCCAAACAATTCATGAAACTGGATTAACTCGGAAGAACTCATGGTGGTTTGGTTGGGAAGCCAGGCAGGCACTGTCTGTGGGATTTAGCGCCTGCCCCTGGAGGGTTCAGTTAGGCATTCTGGCATCACTGACCGTGGCCTTAGAATATGAAAGGTGGAGTAGGGAGCAGAATCAAAGACAAATTTAGGAGAGGGAAAATCCCTCTCCTAAAAGGAAAAAAGGAGAAGAAATTCCTTTGCCCCAGTTCTGGAGTGCAGGCTGAAGCCTCCCTCTGTTACGTGAGTTTTACCCTAAGCTTTAGAAGATGGAGTGGAATGGGGCGGGGGAGTGGAAGACAAGAAGAGATCCAGGCTAACAATATCAGAGAGGGGAGGATCCCACCTTTAGCAAGACAATAACACTCCCAGCTCTCCCAGAGACTAGTGCTGAATAATGGGGACTCATTATGTTATCTCAACATGGAGATGTTAATCCCCCATCTTTGATGAAAATTCTCTCTCCCTTTGCATGGCTCAGATAGTAGCAGGACTGACCAGAGGCCCATTGACCCTATAGCTAAGCAAGCTGAAGTTTCAGGGTCCTCCCTTGCACAGACCTCTTCCAAAGCACTGGAGGAGCCCCAGCAAGTGTTAATGTAGTCAGTTTTTGTAAAATTTGAAAAAAATATTTGAACTGCAATTGGTTAAGGTTGATGTCTCTTTCCTTTCTGACTTTCCCTCCATCACACTTCCCCTTTTGTCAGGTGGTGGTGGAGAGGCCATGGGCATTTTAGGATTGGCTAAGGAAGCTGAGTTGGGGATACATTAAGTTTGGGTTTAGTACGTATACATCTCTGGTTTGCAGCTTCTGTGAATAGTTAAATAGTAGGTATAGTGTTATGGGCTGAACTGAGTTCCCCTAAATTCATGTTAAAGTCGGAACTCCCAATACATCAGAATGTAACTGTATTTGACGATAGGGTCTGTAAAAAGCCAATTAAGTTAAAATGAGGTCTTTAGGGTAAATCCTAATCCAATATGACTGTTGTCCTTATAAGAGGAAATTTGGACACAGACATGAACAGAGGAAAGACCATGTGAAGACATAGGGTGAAGATGGCTGTAAGCCAAGGAGAGAGGACCCTCAGAATGAAATCAACCATGCTGACACCTTATCTCAGACTTCTAGCCTCTAGAACTGTGAGGATTTCTGTTGTTTAAGCCACGCAGTCTGTAGCATTTTGTTAATGCAGCCCTAGCAAACGAATGCATAAAGCTTCCAGGAATGATCCTAATGTCAGCAATTCAGAGCATATGACATTAGTCACTGCAAATTTGAAATGCTCCAAAATCTTACACTACATATACCAAAGAAATGTGATAGTTTTGTCCCCAAGTTTGACAAAAATCCTTAAAAATTATGACATTATCGCTTACAAAGTGTGAAGGCAAAACTTTTCTAAATTATCAAGAATTTTTAAAAAATGATCATGTAGAGGACTGAAATACCTTTCTCCACTCTTTATAGAAAACATATATAGTAATCACATGAAAAGGTTATCTAAGAGCATGCAGCTAAAAGCAAAATTGTAGGAAAAAATATATAGGTTTGCCAGGTAGATAACTTTTTAAAATTTTTCTTGACTTTGTGGTATTTGTCAGCTTTTTAAAAATTGTAATTTGTTTATATCTTCTCATTCTAAAATATATTCACTTTTTTCCTTAAAGATTGGCACCTGAGGGGCCAGCCTGGTGGCACAGGGGTTAAGTTTGTGTGCTCTGCTTTGGCGGCCCAGGGTTCGCCAGTTGGGATCCCGGGTGTGGACATGGCACCACTTGGCACGCCATGCTGTGGTAGGCGTCCCACATAACATCTAACAGGCTAACATCTGTTGCCAATCTTTTTTTTTTCCTTCTTCTCCCCAAAGCCCCCCAGTACATCGTTGTATATTCTAGTTGTAGGTCCTTCTGGTTGTGCTATGTGGCGTGCTGCCTCAGTATTGCTTGATGAGCGGTGCTAGGTCCACACCCAGGATCTGAACCCATGAAACCCCGGGCCACCGAAGTGGAGCAAGAACTTAATCACTTGGCTACGGGGCTGGTCCCTAAAATCTATTAACTTTTGTACATAACATACTTACTTTTCTCAAAAAAGGCTCCAAAAGTTGTATGCTTCAGGTGCCCAAAAACTTTGATCTACCCCGGGACTACCCAAATGGATCTGGTGAATTTCTGCCTCACTTGGGGAAACCCTGCTCCAGTGTTCTGTGCCCTGTGTGCCTTTAGCCAATTCTAATACCAGAGCTGAGGGCTGACCAATCAGAACTGCAAGGATTGAGGATCTGAGATAGCAAAAGCTGCAGTGAAGGAGTTTGTGGAAGAAGGATTTCAGACAAACCTATAGCCAAACTAAGATGTGACAAGTCTGGAAAGACAGTAGGGCCCTAGAGGTACCCTAGGCAATCAGCCATGGCGAGAATCCCCTTACCTCTCCTTGGGTGTCTGCTCCTCATGCTGACTCTACCCTTCAGCATATCTCGTTTCACTTACCACCTGTACTAAAGAGTGGGTGCTCTGCAGTGACATCACAATTTGGCCATTATGATGTAATAAGGAGGCATCTGATTTTTCTCGGGCTATCCTAACAGGGCTTCCCTATTAGGAAGGTTGTCTCATTACTTTGTGGGTAATTGGATTCTTTCATCATTCAGGTGATGTGGAAGTCAATACTACGTTAGAACTTGATGTTTTTCAAGGATGCCTCCTTTTAAATCCATTTCTATCGCTCCATTCTGGATTAGACAGAGGTCCTTGCTTTTCCTCTCCATCTTAATTTTCGTCCTTTGCTTTAGGGTTGCCCTTGATGGGAGAAAGGGCTTTGCTCTTCCCTCCAGTGCTTAAGGAGCAGAATGTAACTTAGATGGCCCCCTTAATGAAGAAGAGCCCTCCACCCAAGGTGAAGTATGGGCTTTTACCCAAGCTGTATCCTTTAACTGCTCCAGCAGCTGGTGCTGGGTGCCAGGGAACTAAAGTGCTGGGCCCTGGTAACTTTTCATACTGCTACCCAAAATGGTGGTGGGATCCTGTTCGGGTGTTTTATACAGGGCTGCCCAACTCTTCTGTATCTCCTTCCCACCCAGCTTTTGCGTAGGCAGAGGACTCCTGCGGACCGAGAATAGGACTTTTAAGAAATGGGGAATGAGAGGGAGGCATCTTGCTTCTGGGTCTCTTGCCACCCTAGCCCAAAACAAACAATATTTCTCAATACCTTATGATATACTTTCTTTTCATATTCCATCTTTATTTCAAATGTAAGGTCTTTTATCCAAAAGGGAGGGCAGGTGCATAAGAAAGCTGAATTGAGGCACAATGCTAATGAGTTTGGGGCCCAGTGAACAGAGCAGTGCTGTGAAGAAGGTGGGGAGGCTCTGGGAGGGCCTGAAGAGAACATTGGTTTTTGGGGAATTCACATAGCAAACTTTCATTTCCTTTCCAGGTTAGCTATTCAGTGGGTGGATCACTCAGTCTTTTTAGCAACTCCACTCTTTAGCAATATCACCAAAAGAAGTGCCAAGGCTGGGGGCATAGAGAAAACTACAAGTGCCTTTATTTTTCTTTATGCCTGGATGGAGAAGAAAATGGAAACTAGTAGCAAAAAAGGAAACATTTCCAATATTATCTCTTGCCATGAAAAAATCACGGGTCTGGGTAGAGGGCTGTTTCGTAGCCTGGCAATGGGATGTCATCAGGAGACCTCAGATTAAGTCCCATTTCAAGCTGCACTAACAAATTCCGTGACCCTGCTGGGGTCACTTCTCATCTCTGGACCTGTGTCCTCATCTGTAGGGGAGCCTCGACCCAATGATCTCTAAAGACAAGGCTTTTCAGATCTCTGATGCTATGACCTGCGAATTCCAAGGATCCAGAGTTCGAGAGAAACACAGGTGTTAGAAGCAAGGCAATGCGGGAGTTAGATTGGAGAGTTGAGGAGTTGGGGCTTATTATGAAGAGAAATAAAGGAACAGGAGGAAGGCTGAGACAGGTAGGTGTAGGAAGACATCTGAGGTCTGGATGAGAGAAAATGGCAAGTGTTCCTGCTGTGTTGCTTCAAGGAGCCAGGCCCCTGACCATGATAATGGTTTCTCTTATGGCACTTCCCAGTGCACAGCTGACGTGTTACCTCCTAAATTGCTCCTGTTCATACAGTCATCAGCCTTTAGAGGAAAGTCCCCACCACAGTGTCTAACATGACACATCTCTAAAGAGTCCACCAAACTCCTAGTGTTCCCCATGTCAGATTAGACTATCAGTTTACCCCCAGTGCCTGGGGGCAGCTCTATAGGGGAAGAACCAGAAGATTCATGTGTTGGTTCTATAAAGCTGAGAATGGGGGGTGGGTGAGCCATGGTACTTCTTTCAGAGAAAGAGCTCAGGAAACAATGTAGTATTCTTGGTTCCCTGCCTCCAACCAGTTTGCTTTTGTCCACTCAGTAATACCAGGGTTCCCAAGCACAGACCATCCAGCAATTGTCCTAGTCGGAGACCCTTCTAGCAGAAACTTTAGAGAATTGGCCTGGTGGGGGAGGAGGAAGGGGTGTGGCACACCAACAGGTGTGGAGGGTTGACTAGGGCCAGGAGAGAATCCCAGTGTATGGAAAGGCTGGAGTCCAAATGGGCTCCCAAGGTCCCTAGCAGGCAAACAGGGTAGTCCCTTGCTGATCCTGCAGAGCTGAGACACTGGCACCGGCGAGAGCAGCAAGCTCCTGGAAGAAGCAGATGAAGCTTGGGACCCTCAGTGCTTTGCCTTCTGCAAGCCAGTTTAGGAGACTGGGAGGATAGGAAGGCAGGACACAATTAGAAACTATGGTCTTTTCCTAATAAGAGATGATATGGCAAGGTTTTTAATTTTGCTTTTAAAGGAAAAAAATATAACATCCTGGTTACATACAGAGGCTCTGGAGATTTCCTTGGCTCACAAGCCTAGCTCTGTCATTTACTAGCTTTGTGATTGTGAACAAATTACCGAGCTTTTCTGAGCTGTTTCCTCATCTCTAAAACAGGGATAGTTTTACTTAACTCAAAGTGTTTTGAGAATTATAATGCATGCAAGACACCAGATTTTAGTAGGTAAGTAAATGTAAGCTATTATGATTGTTAATACAATGTAACAGTAAAGCACACACATTAAGCCAGAGATTATTACACACTGAGCCTTGACCCAGCCTCAAGCTCCATTATCCTCCCTGGGGCTCTTCACTGATGACTAAAAAGTGCACTGCTTGGTGGCTTCCAGTACAGTTTCTCTCTTCACTCTGCTGGAACTGTGACCTGAAGGTGATCCACAAGATGCATGAAATTCTGTTTTCTTCATCAGATAAAGATGGTGTTTAAATGGCCATCTGTTTGAGAAATCACTTGGGGTTCCTCTCTTTCAGCCATCTTTCTTCAAAGGATTAAGGCTTTGGACAGGAGGGGCATGGTAACAAGCCCCATGCTCTATTCTGATGCATGTATGGGCACACGTGCATGCACTCTCTCTCACTTAGTGATAAGGAAGAGGGGGATCCAGGAATTTTCTTAGAGAAATCATTAACAGATAGACATGGGTATGGGGGGCTAGTTACCTGGGAGCTCCTGTTCATCTGCAGCATCAGGAACTGCTTCTTTTCCCTCTTCTCCCTTCTAGAAGACTGTCAAGAAGGAGCCTGAGAGAGGAAGGTGGACCAACCATGGTCTTGGCAAAAAGGAAGTAGGTTCTCCACCCCTTCTGGAGGGAGAAGGAATAGCAGAGATCAACAAGGAAGAAGAGGGAGGCAAATGGAAACAGAGAAAATGAAGGTAAATACCCTATATGCTAAAAGAAAAATGAAAGTGATGAAAAGAGAGAGGGACAAAGAAAGAGAAAAACAAAGAGCTTAGGAATAGGGTAAGAGGAAAGGAAAAACAAACCAGCAGGTTAGCCAGGAGGAGAGACTTAAGGCATGAATGTGAATGAGTACACGAGTCTAGCTTTCCTATTTCACTTGCTCAGGGTATGGAGCAGACTGCCATCTTCTAGTGCCATTTAATTTCAAGTTGCTTTGATTCTTGATTTGAAATGTTTTTCATTTCTTATACCCATAATCCTTTGTCCTCAAGAGAGCCCCCAACACTGCTTCATCTTTGGGGCTCCCAAGCATCTTTTTCTCTCAGAGAGATGTTCCTCCCCAAAGCTGTCTCAGAGGACCCAGGCCGGAAGTCTGTGGGGCAAGAGCAAAAAGCAAGGGGCAGAGGATGAGCTGTGGTTTGAAAGCGGCCCTGGAATACCCTGAGGCTGCAGGCTGATTATGGGATGCTTCCTAGGCTCTGGAACATGTGTCAAAAACTGGAGGACTAACCTCAGCCCCAGCCAGATGCTGTGTTCTGAACTGTAGCATTCCAACTGTAGGTTGAAGAGTGTGGCTTCAATCTACACTCTGCCCTTCACAGATCATAAAATGTCAAAGCAAGAAGGGGCTTTAAGAGATCACCTAATCCAAATCCAGTTTTCCAAGGAGGAAACTGGGGCCCGACAGGTGAAGTAACTTGCCCAAAATTATACAGCTAGTCGTCAGTGACTTCCTTTTCTTCTGAGGCAGAAAGAATCAGAATAGTGATTCTTGTGATTCACTGTCCCTTTTCAAATACAGTCCATAAAGTGCTCAGAGGTCATTAGAAGGCACCCCAGAAAGGTAAGGCTGGCATTTTTCTGGAAGCCCCTGAGTGTACCAACCCCTCAGGCTACAAGGACCGGCCTGGAGTTGTTTTGTCTTCATTTTAATCTCCAGAGCTGCCTGGAGGCTGGAGGAAGGAGCTCTCACTGCTACCTGCCATCACTCCCCAGCCAGTCTGTGGAGACTGAAGCCAGGGACCATCGGGTGACGAGGGAATCCTGTCATAATGCCAGGGACTGGGAGCAATGGTCAAGTTCCTGGGGTTTAAGCAAGGCAATTACGGCTGAGTTAAAGCTGGGATGGGCAGGGCTGGGGGACCTGAGGTGGCAAAGGCGGGTGCGGAGAGGGAATGAGCCAGCAATTTAAATGACTTCACGGGGGTGAGCTCCTACTTCACACAAAATGCCTCCTCAATCCCAACGAGGTACCTTAACCTTCTACTGCTTAGGCCTGACGAACCCACTCACCTTCTCCCAGTGCCCACTCCCGGAAGAGGACGTCACCATCATCCCTATTCTGCTTTTTTCTAATCTCCCAGTGCCCTTTCCGGTCTCCTTCCTCCCTAAGTCCCGGGTTCCTTCCACTCACATCCAACTAGTGATTCCCACCCCAGTCTCCCCGACCTTCGCTGATTCCGCCCACGCCCCCAGCCCTAGGATTTCTCCCATCCTCCTCGCCCTCCCCGGCTTGACTCTCTTGGACAGCTCCCCGCCAATCCCGGTTTCTCCCATTCCTCCCCGCCACGTCTTCAGGCTTCCCCAGCCCCCAGGTGCCTTTGGTTTTTCGGCCGTCGGCCGCAGGCGTCTCAGATAAAGTGGATCCAGCCCTGGGGCTCCGGGGCTCCGCCACTGCCCGGGTGCTCGGGCCCACGGAGAGCATAGTCACGGCCGCCGTTGTTGTCCCAGAACTCGCGGCCGGTGACACGGTAGCGCAAGGCGAAAAGCAGGGCGCCCCCAATCGGCGGCGCGGGCAGGCGGAAGGCGAAGCGGTCGGCGCGCGGCGGAGGCGGGGCCGGGCCGGCGTAGGCGGCGGGCGCCTCGCGTTGGCTCCGCCAGCCGTCGGCGCTCCAGCGCACGCTCACGCGCTTCTCGTAGGCCAGGTCCAGCACGCGCGCGCTCCCGGCCACGCCCAGCGGGCCCGCCTCGGCGCGTTCCAGGCAGATGCGCTGCGCCTGCAAGCGGGCGGCGAAGCCGGGCTCGCTGGCCGGCTCCAGGGCGGCGCGCGCCTCCTGCGGGGAGAGGGGGAGGGGAAAGAAGGCCGGGTGGAGAGAGGGAAGAGACAGGGGGCGGGGTCAGGGCGACGCAAGGGACCAATCCGAGGTCGACCCCGGCGTCCCGCCGTCAGAGTGCCGCCCGGCTGGGGGCGTGGCCTAGAGTCACTCGCCAATGGGGACCCCCAAAAGGGAAGAGCAAGGGCAAGCCCAGGATAGGAGACAGAGATGGGTGTTCCTTGATAAGTCCCCTCCCACCCCGCTGCCGCGGCCGGGCAGGGGAGGTCCCGGGGAAGGGGCGTGGCCCTGCCGCTTACCTGGAGGCCTCGGGCGCGGGACTGGCACGGCGCGAAGTGGCGGAGGGCGTCTCTCTGTAGCTGGACCTGCACGTGGCGGGGCACCCGTGGCAGCTCTCCGGGGCGGAAGCGGCGCACGGCGGTCAGCTCCAGCCCCAGCGCGTCGGCGAAACGCACTCTCTTGCGGGTGTCTGGACTGCGGCTGCGGGGCGCCCGGGCCCCGCCGCCTCCGGCGGGCGCAGAACGGGCCCGGCGGCCTCGACTCGGAGCGTGAGCACGGGATCGGGCCCCGAGGCGCGTCCCGCCCTGGCCTGGCTCCTCCTCCGGCTCCTCCTCTAGGCTGGGCCGCTGGCTGCGGTAGTAGGCGCGCTCCGTTAGCGCGGCGATGAAGCTCAGGTTGCGGGGGATGTCGGTTCGGGGGGGCCGCTCTCGAGACATGGCATCCCCCGACCTGGCGGGGCCCGTCTCGCGCCCGCCCGGCGTCCACACGGAAGCCGCCGGGCCCGCTTCAGCCGCCCCACGCCATTCCGTAATCTTGCTGTCACCTCCAGGATCCTCCACCTCCTGTAGCTGTCTCTGCGACTACCTTCCCCTCCCACTGGCCATCAGCTCCCAGGGTCTTAGACCATCACCTCCTGTCTTCTGCGAGCTGTCTGCTCTGAGCGTGCGCTCAGCGGCGCTCACCCTCCGGTCCCGCGGTCTTCGCGGCCTCGGCCCCCGCCCACAGCCCTCTGACAGGTGGTTCCCCATCTGTCTTCGCTGCGTCTGCACCAGGGGGCGGGGACTCCACTCTTTCGGTCTTGAGTGAGACCACTCGGCCTTTTTTTTTTAAGCGCCTCAACTTCTGCGGCACGGAAAGAGTTAACGCAGGGAGGAAAGAGTAACCTTCGTTTTCTTGCAGGGGAAGGTTCAAAATGCCCAGTTTGTGACTTTTTCTTCAGGGCTTACAGTTTTTTTTTCTAAACCCTAGGCTCCAGGTTTGGGAGAGGGGTGGCGGTGGGAGCAAAGAAGGGAAGGTCATAAAAGACAGAAGCTGAGCTGTGGCGCTCAAAAGGGTGGGTGGCCCATTGGCGAGAGTTCTGAATTGAGAGTTGTGGGAAGACATGGCTTCTGGTCTCACCTCTGCTATTCAACTGTGTAACCTTGAGCAAGGCACAACTTGTCTGGACCTCAGTTTTCTCATCTGTAAGAAAGTGGATTAGAGTTCTGATCTCTAACCTGACCGTAAGCCCTTTGAGAGCAGAGGCTGTGTATGATTCGTGGTCAGTTTCAGCACGTAGTAGGCCTTCAAATTGAATGAATGAGCTCACAACTTTCTTGGAGCTTGGACTGTGGGGTTCTAGTTTCAGTGGGAGCTTCCAAGAAGGGCACAGAGCTGGATTTTTTTCTCTCTGTTTTTTCTACATTAGTGAAAAAAACGTGATGCTTTGTTTAGTTTTCTTCTAGCTTCTCTTCTGATCTTATGTAGCTCTTACAATGTGCTAGGTATGGTAGTAAGAGTTTTACAGATATTAACTCATACAATACAGCCATCATAAGAGTAGGAGTAGTATTATGCCTATTTTACAGATGAGAAAATCGAGGGAGACAGTGTCTAGGACTCTTTCCTAGGGTCACATAGATAATAACTGGAGAGCTGGGATTAGAACCTCAGCAGTCCAACTCCAGAGTCTACTCTCTTATCCACTGGTTATATAAGATTAAAACATTTCATAGTGATAATTAACATCTTCCGAGTATTGAAATGGGGAATCTTACAGTAGAAATGGAATCTAAATGTAAAACAGCAGGAGAGTTTAACTGTAAAATCACCAGTGACTAGGCTGGAAATAAACAATGAGACAGGTACCATCTTACTACTGCACAATTCATTCCTGTTTGCATTTTAACTCCGGTATTAACCATAACAATGCTATTTAGCCAGGACTCATTTTTAAAGTGATATTGAGTTTTACTTTCTTATTTTATACATACAGGTATAATCCATGGACATATTATTTTCATTTCTTAGGGTGTAAAATAATGTTACATGAATTTATGCTACAGTCTAGCAGTTTAAAACTGTCTTCCTCGCTCTGGTAAAATGTCATAGATGGACTAGATAAGCTCAAAGTCAACCTATATGGCCTGAGGTTTTGGTAAAAGCTCTGTTTTCTTTTCTACAGTTTGAGCTGCCATTCCTTGATTCTGTGGTGTTTGTCTGAGAAGATTCTTGAGGTACACAGCTTTGGACCCAGTATAACTTGTGTTGGTCCAGCAGCTCTGTTCTCCTGGTCCTGGTCGCTCAGGCTAACATTGAACCTTTACTCCAAATTTGCTTAAGTCTTTGTTCCTTGAACAGCCACTGCTGCTATCTTCAGATGTCTGACAGGGCCTGCTCGATAACTGGCCAGAGGCTTTGAGTGATTCAGTCAACATTTACAGAGGGTCCATTAGGCCATAAGGACATAAAAGTGAATGAAATTCAGTTATGCTCTCACAGAGCTTATAAATAAATGGGTGGGCAGACAAAAGTGTATTTGGATCCTGAGGCTTAAGATTATGTTTATTTCAAGTAAATGTCTTAGGAGAAATCAGGATTGCAAATGAAGGACTGGACTAGATTATTCTCTAAAGAAGGAGGCAACCTTGCTGGTGGCAGCTGGAATGATCAGCCTAAGAGCAAAGAAGAAATGAGGATAGTTGAAAGGATACAGTCATAAAAGAGTGGAACACCTTCAGAATAGAGGGAGAACTGAGTTTGGACTTGTAAATGATGTGGTAACAACATTGATCACCTGAAGCAGGAGAGGTGACCTTGTAGCAATACAGTTAAGACAAACTTTCAAGTCAGACAGAATTATATTGAGTCGCAGCTTCTGAGTATCTGGCTTTGGGCAAATTAGCCTCTCCAAGCCTCACTTTCCTCATCCATTGAATGAGGATAAAACAGCATAAGGAGTGATATGAGGACAAAATATCATGCATGTAAAGAAAGCACTTAGCACCTAAGAAGTCTTCAGAATGTGTTCATTGTTACTGTTATTCTTACAGAAAAGACCTTGCTTCTCCAGTGACAGTAGGGCAGATGGGAATACCAAGGCTTGGACTGGAGGTAGATGCAAAGAGAACCAGCAGGAAAGAAGAATTGGGTTGCTTCCTTCTGGTCTTTGGTTGGAGATGCCTCCAAATGGAGCGGAAGGAAGTGCCAGCTGCAAAAGCCGGTGGGGCCCAGTCAGAATGCCTGAGGGCGCCCCCGTGTGGATCAGCTGTGGTCAGGCTGCTCGACTCCCTGTGAACTGCCCTGTATAAGAATATTGCCACGTATACATACTAGACATATGTACATGTGCATATATATATATATGTAATCTGAAAGGATAAACATCGACCTTGACATTGGCAGCCTCCAGGAAGGGAAGTGCAATTGTGGGAGGGGTGGAGGGAGATTGAGATCTTGCATTTTTTCCCCTATACCTCTATATTGTTTGACCTTTTCATAGGGAGAATGAATTCATGTGTTGGGTAAAAAAGAATTAAAAAGAAAACCAATCTGATTACAAAAAAGGGGAAGAAGATGAAGAAAAGTTACCTGCAGAAACCAGTTATGATCCAAGGCCTGGCTCCCAGACACCTAGCTCAAGCCCCAGCCCACAAAGAGACCTCTGGGTTAAAGGTCCTGGAGAAAAGAGGAAGTGAAATGTTTGGTGTCCCTGTCATGTCTGCCAGTCCCATAGGGCGAGGCACCTGGCAGGCAGTTCTCACTGGAATGGGAACTGCTCCTCTTTTCCAGGCACCCTCTCCAGGGCTGGAAGAGTTCAACAAGTGCGAGGAACATTAGAGACCTTCTGGAAATGCTGAATTTGCTCCAAGGTTTCCTGAAGTCTAGCTGGCTTCTCCAGACAGCCTCCAGGCTCAGGAGCCCCAGCTGCCCTCTGTGCCCTCTCCGCCCAGCTCTTCTTGGCCTGTAGTGTCCCTCTCTCTTCCTGAGTTGCAGCCCTTCCCAAGCCTGCGTCCCAGCCCCGCCCCTCTCTCTGGACGCATCTCTGGGCCCCATCATCACCCGGCGCCGGGCCCTCCTTCCCGCCCCCCCTTTCTCCTCCCTCCTTCCTTCCCTCCCTTCCTCCCTCTCTCCCTCCCTCCCAGCTCCTGCACCAGGAAACGGCCCGGATCCCGGCAGCGGCCTGACCCGTGAGATCCCTAACCTGGCAGGCAGGCGGGGTTGGAGACAGGCTGAGGGTGGGGGTGAGGGAGGAGCTGGGCCTTTGGGTTGCACTGGGGGCAGCCGGGAGTAGAGATGGTGTCGGCAGGAAGCCCTTGGCCCTGGGTTTCCCGGGAGGACAGTCATTAAACATGGATTCGGCCACACAGCTGGTAGAGCGTTGGGGGCAGGGACCGGTCCCGGGAGCTGCAACCTCAGCCTTTCTCAGTCCAGACCCTGATGCCTGGCCTTCCGTGCCTAGCTCTGCTCTCCCCCTCCCCTTCCCAGGGCTCCACGCTGGCCAGGAGGATGAAAGGCCCCAGCTGGGGGCTCCTTGCCACCAGCGCTGGGTCCTAAGAGCTGCCATCCAGGCTGGGTGAGTGTCTCCTTCTTTCTCTGTGCTGGGCAACCCTTTGCTTCTCCCACCTTTCCCTTCAGCCCCTGTCTCTTCCCTTATCTTGTGCCTCTGCCAGCATCTTCACATCTTGCCTCGGGGGAGGTCCTAAGCCCCTTCCTCTAGCCAATAAGGTGTGTACTGTGGAGAGGGGGTTAATAGGGGTGTCATAGAGCTGGTGTTGTCTTATTGTGGAGAGAATCTAAAGTATTTTTAAAAATAAAATTTACTTGTTTTACATTTAATTTGGCATATTGCGAATTTAAGGGCCAACCCATCATGTCCTGGTCCCTCACCATGACTTAGTTCTCTTGTTCTTATCCCTCCCTGCCCAGTGGTCTCTGAGCATTTTCTGCCACCTCCCTCCCTCCCTGTCTCACCGAGATGGCCAAGCCTGAAATGCCCTTTCTGGGTCTGTGACCATATATTCATGCGTCTTTCATCTTTGACTCTTACAGCCGCCCGGATGGCGACCCCAGCCTCAGCCCCAGACACACGGGCTCTAGTGGCAGACTTTGTAGGCTATAAGCTGAGGCAGAAGGGTTATGTTTGTGGAGCTGGCCCCGGGGAGGGCCCAGCCGCTGACCCACTGCACCAAGCCATGCGGGCAGCTGGAGATGAGTTTGAGACCCGCTTCCGGCGCACCTTCTCTGATCTGGCGGCTCAGCTGCATGTGACCCCGGGCTCAGCCCAGCAACGCTTCACCCAGGTCTCTGACGAACTCTTCCAAGGTGGCCCCAACTGGGGCCGCCTTGTGGCCTTCTTTGTCTTTGGAGCCGCGCTGTGTGCTGAGAGTGTCAACAAGGAGATGGAGCCACTTGTGGGACAAGTGCAGGAGTGGATGGTGGCCTACCTGGAGACTCGGCTGGCCGACTGGATCCACAGCAGTGGAGGCTGGGTAAGAGGCTTCTCAGTTGCTGCTCTGCACATCCCTCTGCAAAGCTGGTCTCCAGGGAAGAGATGTGGGCTCTGGCTTGAGTCTAGGGGGCAGTTCTGCTGGGAATGAGGTATAGGGGCTGAGTCTCGCTATTTGGGTGGAATCAGATGCCCTCATTATGGGCATCATGCTGGCCTCTGCACTCCAGGGCTGCCATGCAGTCAGCACTGGATGGGCTCATGCAGAGACCAAAGCAGAGACCAGGATACACAGTACCCAGGGAGTACCTGCAGGGAAATGGCATCCAGCCGTCAGGAACTTTTACACCTAAGGACGTGGCATGGGCGGGGGGTGTCAGGGATGGGTGGTGGTCAGGCAAGCCTTGGCAAAGGATGCCAGTTCTGAGCAAAACTTTTGGCCAAGGAAGGGATGGGATTCGCTTGAGGCAGAGAAGGCAAATGAGCCAGGCGCTCATGAAGAATCAGAGGGGCTTTTAGCCAGCAGAGCTTTGCCTGGAGAGGAGATGGGTGTGGGGTAGTGCTTGCAGTGGATGGAACTGGAACTCTTCCTCTCCTCTTTTCTCCATTTTTTCCTCTCCTGATATCCCTTTCTCCTTCTTTCTCTCCTACTTCCCTTTTCTCCCACAGGCGGAGTTCACAGCTCTATACGGGGACGGGGCCCTGGAGGAGGCGCGGCGTCTGCGGGAGGGGAACTGGGCCTCAGTGAGGACAGTGCTGACAGGGGCCGTGGCATTGGGGGCCCTGGTAACTGTAGGGGCCTTTTTTGCTAGCAAGTGAGAAAGTCCAGGGCCAGGTCGGGCTAGGTGTGGCTGGGGGATAGAAGAGCAAGAACAGAACAGAGAAATGCCCTTGGAAGAAGTGGGGTCACTGGATGGGCATGGAACGGGGATGGGAAGGGGCAGGGTAGTGTGTGAGGGAGGTGAGTGTGCCAGGCAGGTGGCTGGAAGAATGAGCTGGAGACACTGGGAATGTATTTGGAAAGTCAAGGGGCCAGGAGATGGAGTCATTCCAGGGTGGGGGGAGGTGGGAGGGATCACGTCCATAGGTGTAGGCACACGAAATGACACCTGGAGCCCGATTTGCAGCCCTGAGGAGCATGGACTTGCATAAGGGATTGTGCCTCCATTGGAAGAGTGGGATTTGGGGAGAACGCAGAAGGCACATCCCTTTGGAATGGAAGCTCGGGGTTCTTAGGTGATAGGGAGAGGTGGCTGTGACTGTGGGCTGCTTGGACACGCGTGTGCATGTGCACGCGTGCTCATATGCATGCTGGGTTGCTTGTCTAATCTGGTGGCTGTGGTATTCTTCAAGGAGAAAACATTCCCTCTTGCAGTGGCAAGAACAAGGGGCAGTTCTCTGCTCCTCCTCCCAACCCTGCCTCCCCCCTCCCCTTGTCCTGATGCCTCAAGGCTAAGGGAGAAACACTGTATCCAGACCAGGGCTTCAGGAGCTTCTTTGCAGAAAGTCAAAACGTTGTTTGCAGGGCTTTGGAGAGAAGAACGGTTCTGTAGCTGGCCTTGTTCCTTCATCGTCCCCCTTCCCTGTGCATCACGCACTTGCTGCTGCCTCCTGGGCTCTGACAGAAAGGCAGGGCTGTGGAGCCTGCGGTGGGTAGAGGCTCGGTAGCTGGACCTGCTGGCCGCCCTCCTCTTCCACTGGGGCACACGGGTGCCTCAAGTGTTCCCTATCTCTGGGACCTTCTGTACCCAAACTTAAACTCTAAATTGGGGCTCTAATTGATTTTCCTTTTGAGTGTGTGGATGTAAATGCTGATCTAGAATACAGTCTGGTTCCTGCACTGGGTCTCAGTGAGACTGTTGATGCCTTGAGAGGAACATTCCAGCTCTGAACCCCATGGGTGTGAGGGGGACGTGTACTCCGTGACTGGCCTATTCCGTGTGGTGGGCTTTGGTGCTGCTTTATCAAGGGCCAAGTGTATGGGTTCTAGAGTACCTACCATGACCTACAAGCATTTACATTTTCTTTGAAGACACGCTGTTTGCATGGGTGTTACTGTCTGTACCTCTGAGTCTGAGGATATTAACTTTGGAGCTCACAGTCCTCTAGAACAGATTCTGATTATAGCTTTTTCTTTTGAGGAAGAAATGATTTCACTCCAGATGCATGCCCTGAGCCAGACCTCACTGCTGCACTTTCCAAGGTGCTAAAATTGCTGCTCTCGATGCTGTCTGCAGACGCAGTGCTCTAGAACCCTGCCCTTGAACCTGAGCACTGATTAGCTTAGCTAGACCATGGTTGACTCTTGGAGATTTTCACTTGGTCCCAGAATGTGGCAACATAGTTGTACTCACTAGAATGTGGGACCAAAATTGGCCTCAGGTGTTCAGCCCACCCTTTTGCTTTTGAGAGAGGGCTGCACTTTTTAATGGTATTTATAGGGGAGGTGGTGGACTGCAGGCGCCACTTGCTCTGTCGTGAGTATGCTGATAACCAGAAACTCAGAGCTGGTCTGTGGCAGGCAGTTGGGGTGGGGGTGTCTCTGACTTGCTCAGGACAAACTAGGCCAGTGGTTTTCAAACTGCTTGGCAGAGCCCCGACGTTTCCTAGGGGTTGCCTCAGGAGTCCTTGGGGGAGATGAAGGGGGGCACTGAGCAGGCTGGGCTACTTGCCCTCAAATAGAACAGCTCCCCTTGTAGCTGTCTTACATATCGGGGTTCAGGGTAAGATTTTATTTGCATTAAGGGGTTTGCTGCTGAAAAAAAGTTGGAAAACCACTGACTAGACCATCAGCTTCAAATTGGAGCCTGTGCTCCCCCAGGTCTGAGGCAAACTCTTCACCCTGCCCTCTCCCACAGGACACCTCGCCCTGTTAGCTCTTCTGGGGGCCTTTAGCAAAGAGGGGCAGTAGGGACCGTGGCCAGGTTACTGAAAAACCCTCTCTGAGGCCTTCGCATCTGGGTGGGAGGAGAGGCTGTTTTCTGAAAGGGTAGAGGGCTTGGTCTGGATTCCAGAAGCATAGCTTGGATGGGATCACAGTGGGCAATGTCGACCTGTCCTGCCCTTCTCAGCTTGAGGGGCAATGGAAACCCCAGAGACTCTTCTGTCAGGGAAAACTAGAGACTCTCTTCTAGAGCCATATAGTTCCTTGGGATTAGCTCTTGGCCAAGAAGGCTGAGTATGGCTCCCAATTTTTAAATCCATTTCATTTTTTAAAAAATAAGGGGAATAAATATCTAATTGCCATTTTTCAGAGATTAAATAGGTGGAGAGGGTGTGTCTTGCTCTCCAGAGCCCAAAGGGACAAATAGGGACTTTGCTTAGGCCAAGGAAGGCGCAGAAGTAGGGCAACTAGGTCCTGTGATTATTAATCCCACTCCCCACTTCTCCTAGGGCATACACTATTTTACTTTTTTAAATCATAAAATGGCGAGAGAACAGATTGGTTAGTTTAGAAGAAAAGAAAAAGCTCTATAAATATAAATATATATTCCTGTATTTTTATTTAATAATTTATAAATACCAAGTTCATTTGACTTTTATTTTTGTGTAATATGTAATGGTCGTATTAAAAAAAAATAAATAAAGCCCAGAAGTTTAATGAGAAGGACTGAGCAGGGTTTGTGACTTCTACACTGTATAGCTTGGGGTCAGGACATTTCTTGATCCAGTCATCTCTTCATGACCTTGTTAAGGGCAAGAATTAGAGTAACAAGGATTTGGGAAGGTGTTGAGATTAAAAAAAAGAGAAAAGCAATTCAGAGTTGTTCCCCCGTTCCCCCACCCTGGCCAAATGCCCAAAGCCAAGAGCTCCATCTATGCCAACCCAAGCCTTAAGGGGGTGTGTGTATACAGTACTTTGGGATGGCCATAAACAACCACAAACCAAAACAAAGAAAACTTACCAAAAATCCCTGTGTGATGGTAATCAAGTTCCCAGTTGTGGTTCAGCCTCTCACCAGAAGTGTGTGATAATGAGCATTTCTCCCCAATTCCCGCTGCCTACTTCAGACTTAAAATAAGTCTGGAAAAAATGGAGCCCCTGCTTCCTTTCCTGCTCCCCTGAGACATTTGGTTTCAGCCATTTTCATGCAAACTGCTAAATTGGATGGAATCTACAGAAACTATTCAGCCCATCCCGCTGTACTTCTAGTCTAGGACCACATCAAAGTCATGCCTGACAGGAATAGTGATCCTAATTTTAAATTACAAGCAGTAATATCTAGTCTTTCTATAATCCAGTGCAATAAAATGGCATTTGGGTTTATGTGTTAAATTGTAATGAGAAATGATACTGCTTAGAGGAATCCAGTGTTGAATTTCCATTCTTTCTCTATGGAAAAATCTACAGAACAAGCCATATTAAAATCAGAGTGGCTTGGTGAACAGGGTGTTAGGGAAAAGGGAATTAGTTGCTCCTAATAGCATCAGGCTACTACAGCTAGTGCATTTATCTCCACTGCAGTGTGATTGGTTTAACGATTGATTGGTTTATATTTGCCTAGTTCCAGAAAGCATATGCAACATCTTACCACAATACACAAAGGAGGAACCAATAGGAAAATTTGTTCCTATTTTTAAAGATTTTTAAAGTAGGGGTAAAGGGTAAATGGAAATATTACAATAGATGACACCAAAAGGAAAATTAAGGCACGGAAAAGCATTCTATAAGCTGTATTCCCAAATACTAAAGCTAGGCTATGAATTCAGCGTTGAGCTTCCTGGCAGCTAAAGAAATTGGAAAACACACTGAGATTCACATTGCTCTTAGGATTTATAAAAGCCTATCAGTTCCTCAAGATGGGCAAAAAGTTTTGTGGCTCTTCTGAGGTGATAGGGTGGACACCACCCTCTATAACACCTGACAGCAAATATGATGTTGAATTATATACTACTGTTGCTTATACGAACACCAAAGGGAACAGACGGACACAAATTTCTGCCCTCATGTCACTTACATTCTAGTAAGGGAAACGAAAACGAACGAACGAAATAAATACATACATTCATTTCATAACATTCATTAATGTAGAAGGTGGTAAATGCTATGAAGAAAAGTAATTCATTAGGGCGAGACTGGGAAGGTGTATGTAAAGATTTCAGTATCAGGAAGCCCTCATTTCTAAGGTGACTTTTGAGTTGTCATGAAAAATGAAATTGGAAAAATATTTTTATTGATATGGAAAGATGTTTCTGTATCTTACAGAGTAAAAGAGAAAATAAATTAGAAGATAATATATACAGTATGTTCCCGTTTTGCTAAAATATTTATATATATGTGTGTGCTTCTATATGTATTTGTGTATTGAAAATTTCAGAAAGGTCATATGCCAAAATATTATTAGTGATTATCTCTGGGTGGTGGATTTTATGGGTGATTTTACTTTGTTATTTTTGCTGTGTTTGCTGATTTTTAACTGAAGAACACATTTCCGGCATAGTATATTAAAACAAGTTTTTCAGGTACAAAGCTTTAAAAAAGTTAACCAAGCAGAATGGAAATTAAGCAGCCCAACAGACGCTCCTTTTCATTTAAATGACCACCCCACTTCCATGCAAGGGCAGACCTAGGGAGTCAAGGCCAGTAGGGCCAGACTTTGCATTAGACAACAATTGGAGTCGGCTCCAAAACAGAGGTAAGTAAATGATCAAGGTCCAAGCTTCTAGATCAGCACTGTCTGCTAGAAATATAAGGCAAGCCACATAGGGAGTCTTACATTTTCTAGTAGCCTCATTCAAAAAGCAAAAAGAAACAGGCAAAATAAATTTTAATAATATTTTATTTAATCCAGTATAAAAATACTGTTATAACTTCAACCTGTAATTAACATTAAACAATTATTATTTTACAGTCTCTACAGACTTTTCATACTAAGTGTTTGAAATTTGGTGTAAATTTGATACTTTCAGCACATCTAATGCAGACCACTCAGGTTTCAAGTGCTCAAGCCATGTGTGAGTAATGGTTATCATATTAAACAATGTAGTTCTAGGTTACAGAGAATTACTGTGGCTGGTAAAAATTTCAAAGCAGGAGTTAAAAATAGGGATGAAACTCCAAGAAGCCACGTATTTATGTTGTTTAGTGAGAAAACTCTTGCCTTCTGGATAGACCTGGAGACGCCCTTATCCACTTTTACTGATTTAATTCTCCTTTTCTCAGCTCCACTGACCATTCACTTCTATTAACACATTTTTCTTCCTTCTAGGGCACATCACCACTGAGTTTCAGTTTTCCCAAAACTCCATGATCCTCTGTTGATTATTACTGAAGGAAAATTATACTCATAATGGGTCAATCTCACATCATTACATACTAATTTTTTAAAAACTCATTCTCAGAGGGAAACTTCTCTCTTTGATATTCTTTATCCATCAACAACAGGCAAGATATTAAGTAAGGTTGTCACGGAAGAGCATTCATTCAGTTAGCATTTATTGAGCACACAGTGATAGGCACTGGGAGTACAAATAGTTTTGAGATGGTGCCTGCTTTTTCCAGTCTACAGTCAAATAGGGAAGTATCATACTTTACAAGTTGCCATTCAAATATATATATGTATGTTTTTGATGAGGAAGATTGGCCCCGAGCTAACATCTGTCGCCAGTCTTCTTTTTGCTTGAGGAAGGTTGTCACTGACCCAACAACTGTGCCAGTCTTCCTCTATTTTGTATGTGGCATGCCGCCATAGCATGGCTTGATGAGCAGTGTGTAGGTCCATACCTGGGATCTGAACCCACGAACCCTGGGCTGCCAAAGTGGAGCACGCGAACTTAACCACTTTGCCACCGGGCCAGCCCACAAATATTTTTTTAAATGCATTTGTTCGTAAAAGTAATCACACTTATGACAGTAAGTGTAGAAGCTGTAGTGTTGTATTTTTATTTTAAGTAAAAATAATATATGATATTGTCAAAAAATCATAGAACATAGAAAATTATAAAGAAGGTCAGTCATAATCCCTCTGCCCAGAGAGCCACTATTACCATTTTGGCACATTTCTTTTTTTGTTGCTGGGGAAGATTTGCCCTCAGCTAACATCTGTTGCCAATCTTCCTCTTTTTGCTTGAGGAAGATTTGCCCTCACTAACATCTGTGCCATTCTTCCTCTATTTTGTATGTGGGTTGCTGCCCCAGGGTGGCTGCCGACAAGTGGTGTAGGTCGACACCTGGGAACTGAACCCAGCCCGCTGAAGCAGAGCCTGCCAAACTTGACCAGTAGGCCACAGGGCCAACCCAACCATTTTGGCATATTTCTTTCCAGGCTTTTATCTGTGCTTATAGTTTATGATCATACTGTATATACAATTTTGTCTACTGCAATTCTGCTTACCATCATATTGCAAACATTTTTCCTTGTCATTAAAAATGTTTTGAAGGCATACTGACTACATAAAATTACATCTATGTGTGTACAATAATTTTCCTGAAAATGCTCACTTGGACATTCCAGTTGTTTACGTTTTTTTACTTTGCTGAACATCTTTGTTCTCAAATGTTTCCTCAGTTTTTAGATTATTTTTTAGAGCAGATCATAGGAAATACAGTTACTGGGTTAAGCATCTCAACATTTTGAAAGCTTTTGGTACATACTGCCAAAGAAAAGATTGTACTGGTTCTTGTTCCTCTTTTTTCCCCAATGCCCAAGTTGTTTTTTTAAAAAATCAGACATACTTTTAATCATACTTTATATACAATTTTACATTCCACTACTTTGGCCTAACACAATTATTTTTTCATGTTATCATACACTGTGTGTAAACCTTTTAATAGGTGCATAATAATCTTTGGATGTAACTATAATTTGCCTAATCATTTGTCTATTGTTGGACTTTAGTCTTTTTCCAATTTCAGCATCATACATGATGTAATTTTTGTATATTAAAGCAGACTTTACAGTAATTTTGATCTTAATTGTAAAGCTGGCTTTGAATTCCCTGTTCACTTCTAATTAGTTGCATGACTTGGGCAATTTACTTCACTCTTTCCTCGTCCCCAAAAAGGTTATAGTTTTGGAACTATTTACTTCATAGGGTTATTGTGAGAAGTCAGTGAGATAATATAATAAGGAGTCTAGGATAGTGCCTGTTACAAAATCAAGTGCTCAACAAAATTAGGATTCAAAAGCGTTATTTAAAAAATCACATTTCCTTAATTGGCTTACTTAGTTTAAATTAGGTACCAATAAAACTTGCAAATCTTGATTAGGTTAAGATCAGTAGAAAAGACTTTTCTTCCAGGGAACTCACAACCTCTTAGAGCTTATCTTCCGTGCTCAATTTACTTCTCCTAGTCCACTGAAGCTGAGATGGCTGATGAAATAATTTTCAGTGAAATTTTAAGCAACTGTGACTCTGCTCCAAGATCCTGTTCCTGAGGTAAGGATTTGTGAGAAAAAGTGAGGGTGAGGGGAAGGACGGGTACACTGATAGGATTTTGACTTTTTGGTTTGTTAATAGAGATCTCCTCAATGTCCAAATCATGCCCCCCGCCCCCAACCATGCACGCCCTGTTGGGGTTGTTTAACTACTTGGTTGGACTCATTTGAATCTAACTCTCAAACTTGGTCTGATTACAAATAGCCCTCTTGCAAATGTAGTACTGCCGTTCCTTCCTTTTTAATAAATGCGTAGGATCACTAAAAAAATGACAACCCTGCCTTCCAGGAGTGGGTCTCATTGGTATCTCAGAGTACCACGGTGTAGTGGGAGCCTGCTGGAGAAATTCCTTTGGGATCTGAAGGACAGTTTGGAGGCCTGGAAAGCGCTGAACCTGAAGGGTGGTACCCAGATCCCCAACCAATGCATCCTTCAGTCAGCAAACATTTATCGGACACTTACTATGTGCTAGGCATACTGCCTCACGTTGGAGACGCAAATATAAATGGGATCTGGCCTCTCATCTCCAAGCTCTCACACCTAGTTAGGAAACAGCGCAAAAATGATTAGGCACACAGTGGAGGTAGGCCCGCTTGTCATGGGAGAGGGGAGGCTAATAGAAGGCTTCGCAGGAGAAGTGATGCTGGGGTTTGCAGTGGTCTGGTTGAGGAGGGACTGCATGTACAGAGACACCGCCCTGGGTGCAGGAACACCACTGGAAGGAGTGTGGAAATAACATCAGCGAAGTAGCCTGGTCCTGAGGTCTCTAAGGCCACGGTAAGGAGTTTTGAGACTTTACCTGGCCTGCAAAGGGGAGCCAGCTCGGTCCGGCAGCCATGCAGAGTGGAGGGGTGACACTGGAAGCTGAGAGACCCATTAGGGGGCTGTAGCAAACAGTCCAAGCAAGAGAAGAAACAGGCTGAAACTGGGGCATAAGCAGCGTGCTTGGAAGGTATGCCTGTGTAGGAAGACAGAACGGACAGGACTCGTTACTGGTACCTCTGGAGTGATGATTCCTCCCTGCTTTCTGGTTTGGGAGACCTAGTGGATGGTGGTGCCAGTAACCTGAATGGGAAAAGTAAGCTCTCTCCTGGAGAGCTCCATTCGGAACCCTCCATGGCCAGCAACATCCCATTTACTGGTGGTTTGCTAGTCAGGAGACCAGTTTCCAGAAACCGCGCCAAAGTTTCTATCCTCTGCCTTCCAACAGCTCACTAATTGGCAACCAGTAGTATCAAGATGGCGGCCCCCTAAGGACTAGTCATGTGACCTCGGGTTTCCCTTGCTGGAAGCCCGCAGTCCGTTCGGGGGCAAGGTTCACCTGTCAGGAAACGAGTGTCAGCCCTTCTAATCTCGCCAGCCAATCGGCACCTCAGAATGGGCCACTGCGGCGAGGCGATCGGAAGATTGGTCCTTTCCGCTCGCCTAGCCAGCGGCCAATCACCGAGCATCATATACTTTACGGGCCCGCCCGTAGGCGGGGGAGAAGCAGGAATGTCGTCACAGCGTGGCAGTATTGTTACCTAAAGACTTGAGAGGAGGTGGGACGTGTGTTGATTGACAGACTGATTTCCCCTACCGGGATTTGAGAATTTGGCTCAATGCCCCGCCTTAGAGGTGGGGTCTTATTTGATTGCCAAGTAATATTCTCCAATGGAGTGCTAGCTCGTGGTGACGGGCAGGCTGCTTGACTAATGAATCCTCGGCGTGGCCGGCGCAGCTCTCCAATCGCTGGGCGGCGGGCCCCAGTCTGAGCGGCGATGGCGGCGGCGGCGGCGGCGGCAGCAGCAGCGGGGGCTGCGGGCGGTCGGGGCTCCGGGCCGGGGCGGCGGCGCCATCTTGTGCCCGGGGCCGGTGGGGAGGC